CGCCAGCAGCTCCAGAACCAGCGTCACCAGCAGCCGCACCCCCAGAACCGGCACCTGCAGTCCCAGGGTCTCCAACCGCAGTGTCTCCCGCAGCAGCACCCCCAGAACCAGCACCTCCAGTCCCAGGGTCTCCAACCGCAGTGTCTCCCGCAGCAGCACCCCCAGAACCAGCACCTCCAGTCCCAGGGTCTCCAGCCGCAGCGTCTCCCGCAGCAGCACCCCCAGAACCAGCACCTCCAGTCCCAGGGTCTCCAGCCGCAGCGTCTCCCGCAGCAGCACCCCCAGAACCAGCACCTCCAGTCCCAGGGTCTCCAACCGCAGCGTCTCCCGCAGCAGCACCCCCAGAACCAGCACCTCCAGTACCTCGAGCAGCAGAGTCCCGGGCTCCAGCAGCGCGACGCTGACGGCGACCGTACCAGTCGTGCAGCTGCTGAGTGGTGAGGGGCACACGCGGACGAAGGCGGCCACTCCAAGTAGGCCGCGCACCAGCAGTCCCAGTACCCTCAAGCGTCTCACCGCCAGACTCAGCACCCCCAGACTCCGCACACACACGCTCAGCACCCACAGACACAGCACCCCCAGGCGCAGGACCCCCATTCTCCACACGCGCTGGCTCAGCACCCCCAGAATCCGCACCCCCAGACGCAGCACCTCCAGGAGCACCACCCCCAGCAGCACCAGAGTCAACAGTAGCCGGCCGCAGAGGCGGTGAAGAAGGTCGCGGGGGGAACCCCGGAGGGGTCTCCAAGCGTGGTGCGCGGCGGTAGGCCGACGGGGCGCCAGCAGCAGCGTCACCCCCCTCGGGTGGGCCAGAGGTGTCGGAAGTGACCTCCAAAGGCTCAGCCAAGGGGGGGGGGTCTACCTGAGACACACCTGAAGGAGCAGGACCCTGAGGGGGGAGGGGGTCTACCGGGGGGGGACCTGGCGTAAGGAAGAGCGGCGGGGGGGGGAGGGGGGTAGCGCGGTAGGGGAAGAGACGGTAGTACGGAACCGACTCGTCAAACGTGACGTCCTGGGAGGACAGAACACGGCGCGAGGTGGGGTGGTAAAACTGCCAACCAGGCGCGTCAGGGGGGAAGTTAAGGAAGACGCAGGGAACAGCACGGGAGGACAGCTTGTCCGCAGACAAGTCCCGGACAAAAGCCCGAGATCCCCAGACACGGAACGCAGACGCATCGCCAACCTTCCCCGTCCACAGCAGAGTGGGGGAGGTCCCCGGCATGGAGACCCGGGGCTGAAGGTTGATCTGACGCGCCGCGTACTGAACAGAAAACGGCCACAGAAAATGGGGAGCAGCCGCATGGATCATGGACGTACGAGCGACGTCCATGACCATGCCAATGCGGCGCTCAGCAATCCCATTTTGCTGTGGAGAGGCTGGAAGCGTGAACGTCTGGCGGATGCCCCTCGCACGACAGAAAGCTCGCAGAGGGCCGGAGGAAAACTCCCCACCTCTGTCGGAGTGCAGACGCAAAACAGGAAAGTCAGAGCCGAAACTCTTCCTGAGCTGGAGACGAGCAGCGCGGATCCAGTCGATCAACACCTCAGTGACCTCATCCTTGCGGCGCAAGGGGAAGACCGTGGTGTAACGCGAGTAATCGTCAACCACCAGCAGGAAGTAACGCTCATGACCCTGTCCACGGACGCGGGCTGGGCCCCACACGTCCATGTGAAGAGTCTGCAGCGGAGCCTCTGTCGGCGGAAACTCGGAGGAGTGAGGAGCGGCGCGCTGCCGCCCCTCGACGCAGGGGACGCAGGTAGGGGCAGGCCCCGGGGGGAGGGGAGGGAGCGACCGGGGAAGACCAGAGACCAGGACACGAGAGGCCATGCCTCGGAGACGAGGCAGGGAGGGGTGACCAAGACGGTGGTGCCAGAGAAGAGTCTCGTGGGACAGGAGGCGACACGAGCAGGGGGCAGACTCAGGACCAGACCGAGACGCCGCAGCAAACACCTGACCCGACGCAGCTACCTGACCAGGCACAGCAACCGGAGGAGACTCGGTAGTGAGGGTGTACAGGCTCGACCCCGGCCGACGGGTAAACGTGGCCAAGTGTCGGCCCGTGTCCGCACACGTGCAGTGGGTCACCCGCTGACGCGCAGGGGTGAACTGGTCAACCCCCCCATCCTGTAGGTCAGCACCTGCCACCAAGTTCGTAGAGAACGAGGGGAGGTAAAGACCCGACAGGGAGCCAGACGGGACCGCCGGACACGGTAGTACAGTGGAGTAGTGAGCAAGGACAGGACCCCCAGAGGGGTCTGCCAGGGAGACCGCAACCGGCCGACTGAGCGGCGTGAGAGTGGTGCGGTCTCGAAAGAAGGAGCGGGAAGCACCTGAGTCAAGGGTGAAAGTGTGCGACGCCTGAGCAGACGTGGTACCTGAGAGAGCAGACTCACCAGCACCTGGAGTAGCAGACTCACCAGCACCTGGAGCAGCAGACTCACTAGCACCTGGAGCAACAGACTCACTAGCACCTAGAGCAGCAGCTGCACCGCCCGGGTCGGGCGGAGCACTCAGGGAACAGTCACCGACATCACTAGTAGTCAATGCATACATGGCAGTGAGGATAGCATCGAAGTCAAGAGCATAGATATCTACCCTCCGCCGGCGCAGCTCCACCCAGTCAGGGAGCTCAGCCGCGTCGCCAAACTCCGTACGCCAGGCGTCGCTCAGACTGGCGAAGCAGCGGGACTCTGTGTGACCAAACGTCCCGCAAGGCTGGCCAGTCCGAGCACCAGTGCGAATGACATACGGGCAGCGAGCAGAACCCCGTGACCCCCCCCGCTGAAAGTACCACTCATGAAGCTGCGGGGGCGAGGGGACCGCACGTACACGATGCTGCAGCTGCACCTGGCCACTACAAGAAGCCCCGAAACTACTCACGCCAGAACGACTCCCACGACGGCCACCCCGACAACCCCAACTAGCGTACCACTCATGAAGCTGTGGGGGCGGGAGAGGCTCACGTGGACGGCGCTGGAGCTGCATCTGGCCACGCCAGGAGCAGCAGTAGCAGTAGGAAGGGTAGGAGCAGCACGAGCAGTAGTAGCAGCAGTAGCAGCAGGAGCAGCAGTAGCAGCAGTAGCAGCAGGAGCAGCAGTAGCAGCAGTAGCAGCAGGAGCAGGAGAAAGAGCAATAGCAGCAGGAGCAGCAGGACAGTGCTCACCAGTGGCAAGAAGGGCCGGCGTACAACGGCGAGGCCGGCACCACTGTAGGGCGAGGGCTCCGCGGCAGCTGCAGGTGGCGGCTGCTCCAGGGGCGGCTGCTCCAGGGGCCAGGGGCGGCTGCTGCAGGGGCCAGGGGCGGCTGCTGCAGGGGCGGTTGCTCCAGGGGCGGCTGCTGCAGGGGCCAGGGGCGGCTGCTGCAGGGGCCAGGGGCGGCTGCTGCAGGGGCCAGGGGCGGCTGCCCGAAGGGCCAGGGGCAGGGGCGGCTGCTGCAGCGGCAAGGGGCAGCAGGTGTAGGGGCGGCTGCTCCAGGGACCAGGGGCGGCTGCTGCAGAGGCGGCTGCTCCAGGGGCCAAGGGCGGCTGCTGCAGGGGCGGCTGCTCCAGGGGCAGGGGCGGCTGCTGCAGGGGCGGCTGCTGCAGTGGCCTGGGACAGCTGCTGCAGGTGCGGCTGCTGCAGGGGACGCTGGGGCGGCTGCTGCAGGGCTGCGAAAGAGCGGCGTGGGGGGGCCGCCAGGGGCCGCGACAGACCAGGTAAGGGGCCACGACGGGCGGGTAAGGGGCCGCGAGCGGCTAAGGGGGCCGCGACGGGCGGCAAAGGGGCCGCGACGGGCGGCTAAGGGGCCGCGACGGGCGGCTAAGGGGCCGCGACGGGCGGGTAAGGGGCCGCGGGCGGCTAAGGGGCCGCGACGGGCGGCTAAGGGGCCGCGACGGGCTAGGGAAGGGCTGCGACGGGCGGCTAAGGGGAGGAAGTTGGGCGGGCCGAGGAAAAAACGAGCCGCACGGGCGGCTGACGTGGCGCGCGGGGCCGAAAACGGGCCTAAACGAAGAGCGCGCGGGCTGCTCAAGCGGCGCGCGCGGGAGAAAAAAAAGGGCCGCGCACGTGCAGCCGAGGCGCGCGCGGGCAGCAGGCAAGGCAGGTGAGGTAACGTGGTAACGGTGGGCCCTTATCTTAGGTCCTAGAGACCTCTAGGCTCTAGATACCATCTTAGAATCTTAGGCATGAAGTTGTGTGGAATTAGGGTTTGGAGGGGGATACAAAACAAGTGTCGAGAAAATATGTGTACCCCCTAAGGCTAGACCCAGTACTATAGCCTACATAAATGTTACACATATAATTTGACAAAACACACTGACAGGGTGCAAGTGACAGTGGTGTGGACAGGCAAGAAGCCCTCACAAAGAGGTGACAGTGGTGAGGGCAGATGCACGCTGTAACATGCAGCTGGTGAGGAGGAGACAGAGAGCAGGGTAAGGCCTGCACAATATCAGTGGGACTGAGAAAATAGAAAGCGTACATGTGGCACAGTAGTGGCAGAAGTATGAGCAACACAATACAAACACCCCACAATGCTGCTGCTGTGACAAGAGCAGTAACAGCAGGCACGACAGCCCACACTATCAGGCACAGCAAGAGCATAGTATGGTAGATGCTACCCAGCTTTCCACATCCAGTCCTGCATCCTCCATGCCAGCATCTACAGCTGCCATGCCCATCCTGCACGGTAAACAGTGGTTGGAAATGATGTTTTTCTTTACCAATCGTTTAGTGCTAACATGTTACCACAGGGTTCGGTTGTGTCAATTATTGTCCGACACACAGATATCTAATGCTGTTGTGCTTTGTGAGGGCTGCAATAGTTGTATTGTTTACACTCCATTTGTTCCAAAAGGGATGTGAAGGCAAGAAGCGGTACAGTACACAATGGTCCAGTCCAACACACCCTGCAGTAGCTTCCAGTAGCACTTGCACCAGTGGGCAGGCACGCAGGCACCTCCTTCTGCACTGCTTTTGCGACCACAAACTGGCATCTTTATCTCCACCAGCCTTTGACCACCTCAAAGGTCGCCTGCACCGCCATCACTTCCCGAAGAACCAGCAGAGGGTGCAGCAGACGGGGGTGAGGAAGAGGAGGGTGCAGCAGAGCCCACAACAGCCTCAATGAGAGCTTCGTCTGCTGCTTGCCTGGCAGCGGTCTCATCGGGAATGCCGTTGGGGAAGAGGGCAAGGTCCACTGCGGTGTAGAGGAACGACATGTAACGCCACCACTCCTCCTTGCCGCCGCCTATTTGCCGCACCAGCTTCTCCCTCCCGGGCTCGTAGATTGGCAACCCCACCTCCGTGCGCCTGCCAGGTTGGCAAATGGTTTTGTTATTGTGTTTGAGGAGGTTTGCGAGTGTAGGGAGCAATGGAAGGGGGGTTGACAGGGGAAACACAAGGGGTTAGAGGGGGGTCAGAAGAAGTTGTGAGTGAGAGTGGGTAAGGATTGTCAAGGAAAACCAGAACCACCCCCCTTTGCTTGTTGACTGCCCACCTCACCTGGCTGTTATCTCTTCAGAACCCAACCTTCAACCAGCCTGCCATATGCTGTCCGCCCCTTACTGAGCACCCCTTATCCACCCTACACACCCCTCTTCCCCCATGCTCACGCGGCGCGGTCGCGGGTGACGGCGTCTTGCTCGGCCTGCAGGCGCTGCTGATGCACGGCAGCCAGGGACGCCCGCAGCACGTCATGACGAGAGGGAGGTGCGTCCACCACCTCCCCCCGCGCTGCTGCCGCCGCCGCCTCCTCGTCCCACTGGTGTGTGGCACATGAAGGGGGGGATTTGAAAGGAGGGAGAGTGTATTTGGGGCGCCTAGAGAATAGACTCCTCCTTTTCCCACTGGCATGTGCTGTGGTGCATAGGGGGAGGGATTTGCTAGGAGGTAGAGAGGGTGGTGGATAAATGTGTGATGACTGGATGCTGTGGAAAACGACCAGCAATGTAGAGCGATTTATCCCAAGAGATATTCATGTCTACAACCCTACCCACACCCCCCTTCCCCTTCCCCCCAGCGGTACCTTTAGCTCCTCCTCTGCTGCTGCTAGATCCACCAGTTCTGCGTCTGCAGGCTGCCTCATTGCCACCAGTGCATTTGGAAACAAGCAGGCACACAGGACATGAGGAGACAGGGAGAGAGGGAGAGAGGGAGAGAGGGAGGAGTGGGAGGGGAATAGGCAGGCAGGTAAGTGGATGCTCATGATTACGCACATGCACATACAGCAGAGACAAGCAAGGGCATCTTCAGCCGGGCATATAATATGGGAAACAACACAAAGCTAGGCATGAGTACAACACACGCTGAAGCAACGTAGAGCAACACAACCTCTCGCCCACAACCCCTTCCCATGGCGCCATATCCACAGCCCCTACCCAATGCGACAACACCTCACGCAGCAACTCAGAAGAAACTCCCTCAAAGCAATGCATTACCTCGGGCAGCATGAGTGCCACGTCTTGCGGTGTGACCACCTCCCCCCTCCGCACTCTCTGTACCAACATGCGCTCTGCTCCCTGTATGCGATCCACCTGGGGGAAGGGGAGACCGGAAAAAGACAGGGTGAAGGAACGAAATGAAGCTGGAACTATTTTCCATGCGCCTCAAACAATAAATCATCGACCCGCACAGAAATTAAGGGGTTCAAACCGCAACAAGCACTCAAGAGAGGCGCGAGTTACGTGTTGGAGAGAGGCGAGTGGTGGAGAGGCGAGTGGTGTAGAGGCGAGTGGTGGAGAGGCGAGCAGAGAGGCGAGAGGTACATGTTTAAGAGAGTAGAGACTCACGTGTTGGATGTAGGGGTGGCGGAAGTCCTCCTCCTGCTGCTCCGACTCCTCAACGAACAGCCGCTCCCACCGGTTGGGGAAAAACGCCCTCTTCACAAACGGTAGCTTCGGCCGCCGCACCTCCACCTGCTCATGGGGGGGAGGAGAGGGGGGGAGAGAGAGAGAGGTGGAAGCGGGAGAGGAGAGGGGTGAGTTGGGGGTTGGTTGAGCGTGGGTTGGGGGACAGCATGGGGGTTGATAGAGGATGAGGTTGTGGCACAAGTAGGTGCGAGGACGGCTGTGTGGGATTCTGGCTTTGATTATTGGGAGATAGAGCGAAGGGAGAGGGAGGAGAGAACAGAAGGGAGATGGGAGTGGGGAAGGAAGGGTACGGGAGAGGAGAAGGGGGAGACAGAGGGGGTAGACGGAAGATGGGGGGAGGGAAGTGGGAGGATGGTGGGGGGGGGGGGGGGGGGAGAGGGAGGGAGAGGAGGAGGGGAGGAAGGGAGGAGGCGAGGGACTCACGGCGAGTTCATTGAGGTTGAAATCCCCATCGCGGGAGAAGATGGGCGCATGGGGGGGGTAGCGCTGGCGCCGAAAGCTGAGGGGGAGAGGACGGAGTGAGGGAGAAAGAGAGAGAATGGGGAGAGCATACAGGGCAGGGGGGCGAGGCTGGGAATGTTGACGGAAGCCTTGGGAATGTGGATGCAAGTAGTGGGAATGAGTGGTGCCACTCATCCCATCCCACATGCTCGCCGTATGTCACTCACATCATGTGATCCACGTCGGGGTTGAGCAGGCGCAGTTCAATGGGGAAGCGGAAGCGGAAGGGGTCGCGCTTGGCCGTGACCTCCACCAGCACAGGCGTGCCGATGCTCAGCACCTGCCGCAGCTCGTACCAGTCGTCATTGTAAATGGGCACCCACCTGCCGGTATGCACACACACAAGGAGGCAGGATCACAGACAGGACGGCAGAAGGCAATACTCCTTCAGATTCAAGAGTTCAGGAATCTCCAGGGTGGCTGGCATGTGGTGGCATTTGGAAGCATGCGGGAGGGAGAGGGAGAGGTGGGAGTGGCACGCACCCGTCATGCACGGCGCCGATGTCAATGAAGCAGCCCTCGTTGAGGTTGATGGTCGTCACCTGCCCCGCATACACCTGCCCCGCCTCCACAAACGGTAGCTCGTACTGCCGGGGGGAGGGGGGGGGACACGTGGGAATGTGTGCGTGTGAGGAGGGGGAAGGGGGACGGCGAGTGGGGAGGGTGAGAGAGGGAGAGTGGTGAGTTGGAGGGGTAGAGAACATGGCGGAAGGGAGGGAAAGGGGAAGAGGAGGGGATAGAAAGAGGCGAAGGAAGGAGGGTGAAGGAGGAGCAGCAAGGCCACAATGGCTCACGGGCGAGATGCATGAGTCAAGCCTCGGCTGCAAGTGAATGATGCGCAAGTGAACGAGGACGAAATTATTCAGGGAAGGAGAGAGAGAGGGAGGCAGGAAGGCAGGGAGGCAGGAGAGAAACGGCGAACGAGCGGGGGAAGGTGCATACGAGTCCTGGGCGGTACTTGTCGCCCGCCTTCCTGCGCCCTGGGAAGTATATTGGGTCCGCCTGCATGCCCATGGGGTGCCACACCCATGCACCCATGCACCCATGCACCCATGCACGCATGCACCCATGCACCCATGCACGCATGCACCCATGCACCCATGCACGCATGCACGCATGCACGCATGAATCACCAAACATTCATTCACGAAACCACCACTCACAGGAGTAACCCACCCACGACAGCCAACCTCCAGATGCGCACACACACGGTCATGCAGACATGAATGGGGGGAATGAGTTAGAATGGAAGCATCGATGCAGACGCACACCATGGCTGCGATCACACAGCATGGCATGACATGGCATGGCGCGGCAAGGCATGGCACGGCTATCGCATGGCATGGCGACGCTGTGGCATGGCATGACATGGCATGACATGGCTATGACATGGCACGCAAGGAATGGCATGACTCACCACAGCAGCTTCTTCATCCAGCAGGTCTTTGTTCGCCTGCACCCACGCCTCATACTGCTTCATAAACACCGCCCACCGCTCCTCCCTCACCCTCTCCTCCTCCTCCTCCTCCGCACCCGCCTCTCCCCCTCTACCGCCCCCCTGCTTCCCCCGTGTCGCGCCGTGAATCACTGCCAGCTCATCCGCGTCCACCTGCCAGCCTGGCGGCGGCCAATCGCGGGGCGGGCGGTGCGTCAGCGAGGGCAGGTCCCCTGGCCGCGGCCCCACCCACTTGCTGCTCCTTGCACGCCTCGTGCTGCCACTACTGCCACCAGTGCTACTCTCACCATTTTCACCACTTTCACCGCCAGCAGCAGCAGCAGCAGCAGCACCACCAGTACCATTGGGCATGGTGGTCTGACCCTGCAGCACCCGCACCATCGACTCCTCCATCATCTCCCTCCACCGCTGCTCCACCCCTCTCCTCTCCTCCTCACTCACCTCCACCTCCCCTTCCCCTTCCCCGTCCACGACCGCCACTTCCCCGCCCACGTCAACCACCCCCGCGTCCCCCGCGCCCAGCAGCCCGCGCGCGCCCGTATCCCCCCCCGTCAGCCTGCGCTCATTGGCCTCGCGGATGCCGCGAGGAGTGAGGCGATCCATCCACTCCTCCCCCACAAACGTCTCCTCCTTCCCCTCCACCACGGATTCCAACGCAAACTCCATCTCCGGGCTCATGGCCGTTTCGAAAACCCTAAACCACCCGTCGAGCTCCCATCGGCGCAGCAGTTCGACCACGTCCCAGAGGGTTTTGCCGTCCAGCCGCCCGTCGCGCTGCCAGTAGCGCGCGCTCGTGCTCCACCACTCGCGCAGCGACTCGAACTCCTCCGACGTGATCTGATCCTCCGACGCGCCGCTCGCGCGCCAGAAGCGCACCACGTCGTCCCACTGCCACGACATCATGTACTGTAGATCGCCCTCCCACTCCCTGGACTCCGCATCGCCTCCGCCCTCGCTCTCGCTGCCGCTGCTGATGCTGTTGCTCCCTTCCCCCTTGCCTGCTTCCGCCCCTGAGGCAAGCGCGGGAGAGAACTCCTCCGCTTCCGCCGATTCTCCACCCCCGTCTGCCTCCTCGCCGTCAGCGGCCGCCATCGCCACCCGCCGGGGTCTTTCTCTGCGCCACTGCGCGCCGTTGCGGCGGGAGCATGGGCGGAGACCCCCCCGTTGGCGAAAGCCGGGGAGCTGCACTAGCCTCGTTGCGGCAGCAGTCGTCACACGATGGGGCCGACCTGCCAGCGCCATTGGCGCGACACATCCGCGTGACGTCAACATTTGAAATGATGACGCCATGCTTTAGACTGAGGTGTGCGCACGGCACGGCACAAGCCACGTGGCTAGCTGAGGAGGACCGAGCTTCCAAGGCTATATCATTAACCTGGTATTGTTGTAACGGCGACGGAGAGTGCGGGGGAAGTGTAGAGGAGAGATGCGACAGGGACGACCCGGGTCGGGTGAAGCTTGGAAACCAGCAAGTGAATGCTGATGCGTCTGGGGCGGCGCGAGGCGTCCGATCTGCGCTCGTTGCCGTTTCGGAATGGTCAGATAAACCGACGACGGGCCGATAAATGGTTCTGGCGACGGGGTTTTAGGAGGGATGGTTCGTGTGGCTCGATATTGGAAGAACCGTTCACACAATGGATTCCACTTTACACGTCCTAACACAAAAGAATGACAGCCTGAACGAAGTAAGTCATATATATTAAATCCCACAATGAAGCAAACATCATGCGCCAATAATATACTAATATGCGGAGGATCAGACATGCGTATTTCTAAAACAGCGGATGGTTACACTTTATGCCCATCTATCTATACCCCCGCACATACAAATGCCTAGTAGTACCCTTATAGAATGAGCTGCTGCATGTTTCCATCCATAAATTAGCATCCTTACCATCATCGCTACACCCAATTCCCCTCTGTCAGCCTTCCACCACCTGTACCACCCATACATCGCTCCATGCCTGTTCCTTCTCCCACCTCCCCCAACCACCATCATCATCTCTTTTTGGAACCAGGAGCAGCGTTGGGCCGGTAACACGACATAATAGACCCCAGGAGCCCCAGCGGTTTCCCCTGTCTGCTCTGCAGCAGCTCCCCTTCCTCCTCCTCCTCATCCTCCTCCAACACTTCCCCCAGAAGGCCCCCTGGACCTCGCTGCTGCTGCTCCTGCTGCTGCTGGCTCGTCTGCTTCTGCGCCACTGCCGGTCCCCCCAGGCCTATGACGAGGCTCGGGACTATGGAGACAGGCGCGGAGGGAGGATCGGTGTAGGTTCGGACTTTGAGGTCCTTGCCCTGGTGGCAGCGCAGGTGGTGAGGGAACGGGAGATGAAGAGTGGGTGATAGATGAGGAGTGAGTGATTGACAGTCGGTCTAGTGAGAGACAGGGAACAACGGAGGACAACTTCATTGATACTGTATGATTGATGTGACCGATGAGGGGGCGGGGCGCTGGAAGAGTGGAATTTCAGTGAAATGGCGAACGGAGCGCAAGGAAAGCGAGGTGGCAAGGGAGGGCGCACGCACCTGTATGCGGTCGTGCTGTAGTGCATCGTAGTTGGCTCGGTTGGTTTCAAAGAGCACCATGCGCGTGAAGTGGCTGGGCACACACACCGTCTGACTCATGCGCGCCACCTGCCAGGCATCAGCGCAGTGCGGGGCAGGCATGACATGGCGAGCGAGGGGGATGACGCAAGATGGGCGATGGCAGGAAGGTTCGGGACGATGGATGATCGACATATGAAACGCCACTTCACACATGCCTCTTGCTAGCACGTGCGACTGGACTTCTTTGGAAGCATCCCATGGCCACAACCACACATGCAATGGCCATACCCGCGCCATACTCCAGCACAGCAAGCCAGCCCTCCCAAGCACACCCCACTCGAACAGCCATGCGCACACGCTGCAACCATGGCATAGCCTTGGTTGCTTGTAGCAGCACAACCCAGGGCGCAGCAAAGCACAGCACAGCACAGTGCGTGGGCGTGGGCGTGGGCATGGGCATGGGCATGGGCATGGGCATGGGTATGGGCATGGGCACTCACCCCTCGCTCCAGGTCGGGGTCGCGCTGCAACCATGCATCTGCCGTCATCAGGTCCGTGTGCTCCCGTATGCCCACCTGGTGCCGTGTGCCATGCCAGGGAGGTGGAGAACGGTGGAGAGGGGTCAAGAGGGAAGGCTACGGAGGCGAGCAATAGGAGCAATTGAAGGGGGGATTAAAGGGAAAGGCCAAAACGGGCAAGGAAGGTCCCATTCGCAGCGCTGCACACCATCCCATCCCACACGACATAACATGCCGTTGCATCCCACACCACCCCATCCCACACCACCGAACCCCACCCCACCCCATCCCATCCCACTCACGGTGGAGAGCGGCAGAGTGGCGGCCTCAACAACAGGCACCTTGGCCTTCCATGGAGCGCCGTTGGCACGCACGCCTCTTAGCTCCAAGGCCAGAGGCACGTCCCCGTCCAGCCGCCCTGACACCGCCACTGGACATGCTGCGTACAGGTCCGGGATGGGGAATGGCACCAGCTGGTGGCGGGCGGGGGGAGGGGGAGGTGGAAAGGCGCTCAATGGGATTCTCTGCAACGACATACACCACCGCCACCAGAGTTGCTGTGTACAGGTCCGGGATGGGGAAGGGCACCAGCTGGTGGCGGGGGGAGAGAGGGGGGAAAGGGGAGAGGAATAGGGAGAGAGGGGGATGGGGAGGGGGAGAGGCGGCAGAGTGGGATGGAGAGAGGGATGGCGCGGAGAGGCGGCAGAGTAAGAGGGGTTTGAGGTGGGTGAAGGCTGTTTGGCTGGAGTGACGACAAGACAGGATAGGATGCTGTACGCAGGAGGAGGCAGGGGGAGGGTTGCAGGAGAAAGGAAGCAGGGCAAGGGAAGGGAAGGAAGGGGGAAGCCGTGAGAGCAGAGTGGGGAGAGCAAGGGAAGCAGGGAAAGTACCTGGAAGCCGGCAGGCATGTCTCTGATGGTGATGTTGGTGATGAGAGGACGAGACACTGCCAGCAACAGCCGCTCCACCTTCTTCCGCACCTCGTCTGCACACCAGAGTAGGGGAGGGGAAAATGGGAAAAAGGGAAAGGAAAGAGGTTGGGTAGATCAACAAGACGTATGGTAAGGCAATGACGGAAAAGAGGTTGGTGGATTGCAGAAAGAAGGGTGGGAGGAAGAATAAGAAGCGCAGTCAATGTAATAGTGCATAACAGTGCGGTGCAGTGAGGTGCAACAGAGCGTACCAGCAGTAAAGGCGAACTCAGTTGCCCCTCTACTGACACCCGCTATCCAGCGAAGGAAGTAGTAGCTGCAGCTGGGACCTGTGCGGGTGCGTGGGGCACGCACATGTAGAGGGGTGGGGAGTGTAAGGCAAGAGCGAGAAAGTGGAGAAAAAGGGGGGAAAATAAGAAAAAGTGATGGTGAAAGGGGAGTGGGGGGAACCCAAAGCACCGCAAAGCAGAGCCAAGGAAGCGCAGAGGCAGCGCAGTGCAGCAGCAGCAGCGTACCAATGCCGCAGGTGAAGATGCGGGGGGCGTTGGGCCCCCACTCGAGCAGCGCCTCCTGCAGGTAGCAGCAGATGGATCGCTCGTCCTCCACCGCTGCATCGCTCAACAACACTATCTGCGGTAACATGCCCCGCACTCCCTTCAGCATCTTCAATGCCTGCCACATGCCACGGGCAGCACAACACACATTGGGAGAGTCACAGAGGGAGGGCGAGGGGTGTGGAAGAGGAGAAGGTGAAAGGCGTGCGAGGGGTCCGGACTCAGCATGCACCTCACGCCTTGAGCATTTTCAGCGCCCGCCACACGCCACGGGCAGCACACCACACCACACGCCGTGGGTGGGAGGGGTGGGGAGAGGCTGAGTGGGTGGTGTGACGCGTGGGTACGAGACTGACATTACAGCACATGGCATCGCACAGCATTGCAACTGCACCTTGCCACCTGCACCTTGCCACCTGCACCTTGCCACCTGCAGCAGTACCGACCCACACCCACCAGTTGCAGCGGCGAGAGAATGTTGCAGGCCTCATCAGTGTCATACGCCTGCAGCACGAACTTGCTGGCCTTCTTGACGGCCTCGGCAGTGGCGCTCTCCATGGCCTCGGCGAACACCAGCAGCTCGTAGTCAAACGCTATGATGCCAAAGCTGTCCGCCGGACTCAGCCGCTTGAGCGCCGCCATCACTGCGCGCCGAGCCTCCTCCATGGCGCGGCCCCGCATGGCGTTGTGGCTGTCCAGGATAAACACCACTGCCCGCCCGTACACCTGGTGATACGAGGGGCGAAGATGGCCGTGGGAGAGAGCGAATGGGGACGGGGGAGGAGGAGGGTTGGAGAACCTGGGAAGTAAAGGTAGCGCTGAGGTTGGGCGAATTCGAGGAGGGGAGGAGGGAGGAAGAGGAAGGAGGAGGGTAGGAGGGAGGAGGAGGGGGGAGGTACTGACCGGCAGTTGGCAGGGGTCGGGAGGGCAGACGGAGAGGCAGAAGATGGCTCGAGTGTCGGGGTCCTCCTCGTATGGTGCCTGCACCAGCATGGCCGCTGCCACGTCCTCACACACCACCTGATGCTCGAGACAAGTATGGGGCATGAACGGGAGGGAAGGAGAAGTGCAGGGGGAGTTGGATGGGGAGGGTAAAATAGACAGCAGCAAGAGGTGTGCATAGCAGAGGGACACGCTGTTGACGCATGAGCGAGACTTACCTGTACAATAAGTGCACTAATTATACCTGTACAGAAGTGCATGCACACGCAGTACCCACCTGGTAGGAGAGGACGAAGTCGGCGTTGGGCCACACACATGGCTTGCCATCAGGAGTGGTGCTGGCGGGGAAGCCCGTGAAGGACGCCCGCCCTAGCTCCACAAACATCACCTGGTGGGCGGAGAGAAGGGGGGCAGGAGGAAGGGATGGATTCGCTGAAGGGTCTGATAGACAAGTGGTATGGCTTGTGGGCAGCTCTTGGTGACCGTGAAACCCTCATGGAGTGAATGTATGCAGCCCCACATGCCCACAGCAACCCAACATCCTCACAGCAACCGCATATCCCCACAAAAGCCCACTTGTGCACATGACCCCGCACCTTCATGGGATGGTTGAAATCCCCGACTTTGAGCGGCCTGGTGTGGCCACTGTTGATGGCGCAGCTGACCTGCACCACCTCGACCAGCTCCAGATGACTCGGCACCACTGCTTCCGGCACCACCAGCGGCACCACCACCTCATAGTACCCCGCGCGCACGCCCATCGTCTCCACATAGGAAACCCGCACCTTCACCTGCGTGCCCTCCTCCACAGCCGGCAGCCTCATGCGGAACATGGCAGGGTTGAACTCCCCGCCCTCCTGCAGCAGCACGCCTGCTTTCTGCAGCCCTTCCCCTGCCGGACCCAGCATGGCGAAATCCATGGCGCCGCCTTTCCCGCCTAGTAGCCCGCCGGATTGGTCTGGAGCGTCTAGGCTTGCGCCTGTGCCGTTGGCTGTTGACTTGCCGCTCGCTAGTCTCTTCAGCAGCCCCCCTCCGCCGCCGCTGCTTCTCTCCCCTCCCCCTCCGCTTCCCCCCGCCCCTGAGCCTAGTCTGCCTGAGCCCACTCGGGCAAGGAAGGACGAGACAGAGGAGGAGGAGGACGAGGAGGAGGAGGAGGAGGAGGTGTGGTGGTGGTGGGGGGAGGGGTCATGGAGGTGCGGGTTGGGGTGGGAGGAAGACGCGGCTGCTGATTCTGCCTCTTCCTTTGTTACAATGGCTGTGGTGAAGAAATGCGAATCGGTGGTAACCACCTCGACTGACGACACGCTGACCTTGTGGTTTATGGGCAGCGCGAACAGCCACTCGCAACGTGGCGCAATGCCATTGGAGGACACGGTCCACGTGCCTTCTAGAGTGACAACGGCTGTATTCAACAAGCACTCCACTGCTAACGACAACGAGGACATCTGAGCACGCAGAACCGCCGCCCTTTCCACTCCTCCTATCCCTCCTCCCACTCCCGCTCTCCTCCCACTGCCTCCGTCGCTACTTAGATCCCAAGACTGCTTCGCGGACCTCCCACTCCCCGTCCCGAAACTTAATCCGCCTTCACCCAGCCCTCTTAAAGACCCCGCGGATCCCACACTCCCCCCTCCCCCCACCGCTGCCCCCCCAACAGAGCCATCAGTGGAGCGTGGGGAGCCGGCGGAAACACCACCAGCGGCAGCTGCGGCGGCGGCGGCAGCCGCTGCGGCAGCGTTGACGGCAGCGTTGGCAGCTGAGGCTTCTTCTAGACTCGCTTCGTCTATTATCGCGTACACCATGGGGCACGTGGGCAGCAGCTGCTGCGCTTCGTCCGGTTGCCGCCGCGACTTGGCGCGCTGCAGCAACGACTGGGAGGGGTCCATGGGGTGCGGCTTGGGGCGGCGTACAAGTCAGACGCGGAAGCTGCGGTCCGCGACCGCTGGAGGGTGTGTGTCGCAAATTAACTACCAGTCGCCGGAGCGATTGGCTGGTGTAAGCACAGGTGTAAAGCACGTGCAGTGGTAAGGGAAACGTGTCAGAGGAGGGAGAGAGAGGTGGGGGTGGAATGGAATGGACGGCTGACGCGATCAGCAGCGGCGAGACGCGATGCTGCGATACTGCTGCGCGACGATCAGGTCTCAATGTGCATGAGATTGCTGAATGGACGGTCCGGATGGACTCGGGTGATCTGCTCTACTGGACGGTTAATGTGAGCGGTCTGCGCGAGTAGCACAGCAAGATAATGAAATACGCGTATGGCACAGAGAAGGCGAGGATATCCGTCAATGTCGTCTTTCTGCGGCTCGACTCCCTGCAGTGTCACTCGGTGCTGTCAACGCGGTCTAAGGTGCCTCGATAAAAGTCGCTGCGGTTCGATCTGGTGTGCTGCTAGCAACGCGGACGCATGTCAAATCGCCGCTATCCGCACCCACATCGTGTCTCCATGTCGTCCCGCGTTACCAGCGTCGCATAAATAACGTCTCCCTGCGGTGGTGCCTTATCTATCCGCCGTTATCGGCGGCACCACGCGAAACTGCTCCTTTCCGACACGTTCCCAGCACTACCGGAAAAAACACCTTTGCTTAATCTGTATCTATCTCCTAAAAGGTAATTTCGAAAAGCTCGCCCTCGTCACCGATACCCAGCGGTCCTAATGACAAGAAGCCTCATACCTCAGCAGCCTCTGCTCTTCGGCAACCGGCCGGGATCCTACGTCTGCCGGAATAACGACTCTCGGGCGATTCCCGCAATTCACTCAGAAGACTGGTTTTACCATTGGCGATATTTGTCTTCGTGCATGCGCAGGCTTGATGGCTCCTAGAAACCGTCCTCTAGGGTTGGTGGGAACAAACGCCCGTTTCGTATCTGCCACAAGTGGCTCCCATCCAATCCCAAGGGATTTGTTGCATTTGTCGGATCAGCGAAGAGTTTCTCGAAGTTTGCGATTCTCGCTAAGTTGTTCAATCCGTATCGCGACAGCGTCGCTCGCCCTCACTTCTGGCTCTTGGAAAGACGTCGTTTCGCCAACGTCATCGGATTGCTGTGTGATAGCGTCGCTTCACATCCTCGCCGTCCAGATTAGGGTATGCGATGGACGAACGGCCAAAGCACCTGCGACGTGCGCAGTGAGGCAGCTGGTTGTGTCAAGTCAATTCGTCCAAAGGGACTGTCGCAGGGGAAATCATTGGTTTGGAAACGGCGGTAACGATGGGGGAGATCCGTCGAACCAGGCGGTGTGGCAGGGATTGGCCGCGACTTTCGTCTCGTGGTCGATACTCGCGGACTCGGTAACGTAACACTGCATACAGTTTAGTACAGATGTATTACACAAAAAAAATACACAGTTTCACATATTCTTGATGTATAATTGGGTGAATTGGTGAGTGCCAAAACACCGTGGCCCAGATTCCACCTTCACGGCCAGATCGCACGCAACTCAGAACAAAGCAAGGTACAGGGCGTCGTCAGCGTCGTCTGCGCCTGAAACTCAGTCACAGCGGCGGGAAAAAGGGCCTCTTGCATCGAGGATGGCGACAGCCGTTGTCGTACCCACGTCGTGCACCCCGTACAGCCGTCACCAGCCAGGTGCGATTGGCGGGTCCGCACCGCAGTCCAGCTCCACCTCTTCATCGTCTGGCCCCGTGACAGACGGCCGGGGTCTTTCGCGTAGCCCGTGACGACAACATGCCTCTCGCACTTTCATTTTCAGGAATTCACTTCTTTCCAGCCTCCCCGTCGAATTACAACCCTGAATGTTTTTCCTCTTGTCTGCAAACCTCGTTGTTATTTTTCTTTTTTACATCCAGCGGTCCCGCGATCTTCTGGGATCGTTGCGGCGAGACCGCACGCACGACTGCAACCACAACCGCACGGGCAATTGAGGAAGCAGGCGAACGGAGCGGGTTTGGCACTGGGTCAGCCGCAATGGCTGCAGCTGTGGCAGGCGCGGCGGCAGCAGCGGCGGTGGGGGGAGGAGATGGGCTGTTGCGGTGTGTGGAGAGCAGCAGCTTCAAACAATCAGAGCCTTAGTGATGACAGCAGTTCATGGTCTGAAACGACCCAAGACTCCTCCTCCTCCTCTTCCGCCTTCTCCTCCTCCTCGTCATCATCATCATCATCGTCAAGTCTTTCCTCGCAATCACTAGCACAACCGCAGTTGTCTTCAGCATCAGCATCAACATCAGCATCAGCATCAGCATCAGAATCAGCATCGGGCATGGTGGTGGAGTGCACGAGCATGGACGAGGTGTACGAGACTCTGGCTCACAGGCTGCTCGCTGCTGCTCACGCCACCGCTCCCCCCAACAAGTGAGCCTGCGCCATGCATGCATGCATGCATGCATGCAGTATGTGTCCCTCATGCAGCCGTCATGTACTCATCATATATGTATCCTTCATCTCGCTGCATTCGTCCTTCACACACACACTGGGTCTTCTATGCTTCATCCATTCAGTGCGCCCATCACGCACCCGTCCGTGCATGCATCCAGATTCTGTCCTCATTGCCACCCATCCGTGCGAGCATGCATTCATACCCGACCCACTGCTTCAGGTTTCTGGTAGCGCTGGCAGGGCCGCCGGGTGCGGGCAAGTCAACGGTGTCTCAGGCCGTGGTGGACCGAGTCAACCACGCATGGCGCCATGCACTGCCGTGCACCACTCATGCTGCTGCTGCTGCTGCTTCTGCGGATGCTGATGTTGCTGCGGATGCTGATGTGGCGGCCGTGGCGCCCATGGATGGGTTTCATCTGTACAGATGGCAGCTCGATGCTATGGATGTGAGAGCGCGCAGGATGGATGGGGGGCGGGGGTCTTGCATATGCACGTGCTCAATTCTCCGTCAATTAAGGCTTAATCTCCGTAAATCTAGAAAATTGTAGCATTTCCTTGCTGCGGTCGCTCCACTCTGGTGTTTCCATTACTTTGTTTTCGCGGCATATGCACAGCAGCACTGCATGTCTTAACCTCGCACGTGCCCAGACATGCCTGTGTATATTTTTTCCCCCTCCTGTGTGAACTCGACCTGCCGGCATGCCATTGCAGGACCCCGAGGAAGCCCATGCACGGCGAGGAGGTAGGCATCGTAAAATTGGGGTTTTTTCCAGCCCGTTGTTTTGTCCCCTGTCTGGTCTGGTCTGGTCTGTTCTGGTCTGGTCTGGTCTGGTCTGGTCGCCTATATCTCGCTTCTCCAGACTTATCTGCGCCATGTCCCCTGACCCCTGACCTGATCCCATCACGCGCAAATGTTGAACCTCGTACTATTGCTCCTCTACACCCCTGCTCGCACATGCTCCTCGCTCACTTGCGCATTCCTTCCACCATCCGTTCTCCTGCTCCTCTGCTCCGCACCAGCCCCCTGGACGTTCGACCCTGCATCACTGGTGGACTGCCTTCAGACTCTCAAGGACCAGGTGTTCCGCACTCCCTATTCCTCCTCTCCTCCTTCCGACCTACACCTCATGCCTTCACTCTTCCTTGCAATTCACCGTTACCACTGCAAGCCAAACTGTGATTCGGTTCCCACCCTCCTTTCCCCTACTCTCCCCTCCTTTCCCTCTCCCCATCAATCCTCAACCCCTGGGTTCTCTTCCGCATGTACGCGTTCCCATCTTCCGTTATCAAGGTCTCAAGGTTTCCGCCAGGCAGAACAAGTGAATGCACTTACGTCTCAATTGTCCGTCCTTGGGTCTCCCTGACGGCCCCAATCCCTCTTCACTTCGCTGTGTTCCCCAGGGAACTGTGTCTCTGCCTTCCTTTGACCACGGAGTTGGAGACCCAGTCCCGAATGACATCCCCATCCCCCCCAGGTCCGCATGCCTCTCTGTCCCCACCTCCTTCTCGCCCTACCCATGCCTGCCACTCCGCACTGGTTCACACCACCGCACACCTTACCACACCGCATCTAAATATTGCTCTGCTCTGTTCCACAATGGTCTGTGTGCTTGAGTCGCCCTCCGCATCTCTCCCTCTCCCTCCCTTCCCCGTGCCATGCCACAGCGTGCGAGTGGTGGTGGTGGAGGGAAACTATCTGCTGCTCAATCATGGCCACTGGACCGCTCAAAGCTCACGACTCAAAACGCACAGGGATTATAGGATATCACGTGCTCCCACTCAGTAAAACCTAGCGAGCTCACTCCATCTTTCTCTCCCTCCCTTCCCCGTGCCATGCCACAGCGTGCGAGTGGTGGTGGTGGAGGGCAACTATCTGCTGCTCAATGAGGGCGACTGGGCGCGCCTGCGGCCTCTCTTTGATGAGACATGGTCAGTTCCGCCCTTCCCATGCCAATGGCGGGGTGGGGTCACACTGATGGCGCTGGCGAGTTGTTCTGAGGCTAGGGGGAGCTGGAAAGTGGTCAGCTCAAGGCATATGCCAGACTTGTGCGAGCATCGAGGCATTATTAGATGCTTTACGCTTTTTTTTCTACTGTGGCTGGCTGGAGGGAAGTGAGGGACGAGGGAGGGAGAGAGAGAGACTAGGATGGGTGTAGCTGTATCACACCTGTACCCTCCTCCTTTCGCTCCCCTCACCTGCACCTCCTCTCACTTCTTCCTCCCTCCACCAACCAGGTTCGTGCAGGTAGATTTGGATGAGGCAATGCAGCGAGTGGAAAAGCGACACGTGGCAACAGGTGAGAGGCACCACATCTGGCACAAGATTTCAACCCGTTCCGTCACATGACATGAAATCGCCTCATCACATAACACCGTGTCGCGCCATCTCATCCTGCGCTCTGCGTCATCTCCTCTTGCTACCTGCATCAGCGTTGCCTTGGCTATCGCCCATATCATATATAAGAGCAAACTCGTTTCTCGATAAAGTCGGTCAGCTGTCCTTCATTCAAATCTTGTGAGCGATTTCTTTTCGTCTCCATGGGCATGGGCATGGGCATGGGCATGGGCATGGGCATGGGCATGGGCATGGGCATGGGCATGGGCATGGGCATGGGCATGGGCATGAGTGCAGGCAAGACACAGGACGTTGCCAAGTGGCGGGTAAGCGCTGCGCGCTCCCCTCCTCATTCCTCGCCACACTCCCTCCCTGCTGCTCCCTTTCTCCTGCTCCCCTCCTCAGCTTGAGCTCTTCACCTCCCCGTGGTTGATGTCTATCACTCGTGCGTGCTCTATCGCTCATGCACGCACGCATCCTTTTCCTCCATCCACCCCTCATGCTCGTGTGCATGCATGTGACTCTGTCGTGCATCCCTTTCCCCCTTGTCTCCCGCTCCTCTCCGTCACCCCTGTCTCTTCCCCCTCCCACTCCCCCCCTCTTCCGCTCTTCCGCTCCCCCTTCCCCCTCTTCCCCCTCTTCCCCCCCTTTCTTCCTTCCTGCCTGACCAGGTGGAGTACAACGACCGTCCCAATGCCGAGCTTATAATGGAGACGAAGCGCCATGCAGATGTCATTATCGTATCCAAGCACCAGGAATAGCCTCCCTCTCCAACAGTGTCTGTCAAAACGTTAGTTTGACGCAGTTTCCAGACAGGGTAGCCCATATTGTTTCAAGTGCAGCAAACAAACTTACCACATTTAATTCAATTCTGAGCAAATCCACCGTACCATTGTCAGAATATTAGAGCAACAGAACAGACCAGTCAATCAAACCAGCATATTATGCCATCATTGGCATACGGTAGTATCAAGAACGAACAAGTCACAAGGTTGCACAGGTGAGGGTTGAGGAGTAGAGGACAATATGTATAGCAAAGCGCTCAATTAATGCCGCGAATTCCCTTCGCACTGTTTGTTACTTCGTTCCCCTCCTCACACACCAGCTTACTCCTCTCGCACCCATCTACCCCCACCCCACCATCACATCCTCCCCCATTCCACACAGTTCCCATCAATAAACATTTTTTTGGAGCAATTACCACCCCTGCTTCCGTATCTCTCCATTGCAACCCTGCGCCGCCACCACCAACCCCACAAGCATCTCACCACCTGCGCCTCACCACTCTCCTCCGCCTCCCATGGCTTCACCTCACCCCCCGCGCCCTTTACCGCCACTCCTCTCCCTGGATCCTCCGGGGCTCGGACCCAGCCCAGGCTAGTCCCACCAGCACGCGCAGCAGCATCAGCGCCGGCACCAGTTTTGAGACCTCTCAAAACGGCTTCACCTCACTCCCCGCGCCCTTCACCGCCACTCCTTTCCCTGGATCCTCTGGGACTCGGACCCATGCTAGACCCACCAGCACGGCCACCAGTACCAGCAGCAGCACCAGCAGTAGCAGCAAGAGCAGCAGTAGTCAACAGAAGCAGTCTTGTCTCCAGACATCACTCTCGGGCTAGGCCCAGTGCCAACACTCCGCTCACTGCCCTCCCTTCCCACCTCCGCCACCCTCGGACTTGGCCCCACACTCGTACCCCCTTCACTCGCGTCTCCCCGCTCGTCCTCCCCACCCAGCCCATCAGTAAGCAAGCTGCCGCCCACAGCAGCAGCAATGAGCATGGCACCATTCTCATCATCATCAATCCTGTCTACATCCACAAGAAGAGGCGCCATGGGTCGCAGACGCCAGCTAGCAGGCGTGCAGGGTGTAGCTGCCGCACTGCCTGCCTGGCTGCTCCCTCCTGTCCTTCCACTCCACCCCCCTCCTCCTCCCTCCATGCTCCCACACGCCCAGCCCTTGCTGCCGCTGCTGGGTGTTGCCGAAACCAGACCTCCTCCTCCCCTCGGGCTCGTCTCGTCGCCTCCTGTGTGATCTTCAAATATGACAGCAGTAAGCACACCACTGCCACCTGCACTGCCTGTGAAGCTACCCGTGGCACTGCCGCCACCCATGCTGCCCCCAGCAATGATATCACCCACACCACCTCCGCCCATCCCCACTCCCGAGTGCCCACCTGACCCAACCGCCAAGAACTGCCGCTGCCCCGACCCCCCCACACTCTCCGACAGCCTTTCAGAGCTCCGAGTCACGTGCATACTCCCGCCCGCACCCGCACCCACACCCGCGCCTGCACTCGCAACCAAACTCACACCCGCACCGTCGCTACCACCGGCACTCTCCAAAGTGAGCGCATCAGCCATGGGACCCATCTCCCACTCAGTCATGGACTTGCGCATGGCTCTGCTCAGCACTCTCGGCACCACCGTGGGGGTACCAGGCGTGGGACTGGCAGTGGAGAACGCGCGCGACCGCAGCCTCTCCTCCTCCTCCTCCCTAAACGCCGACGACACAGGCAGCCACTGCGGCAGCGGCGACGCCATGGCGTGTATCGCGTCCTCGTCTCCCTCCTCCACTGCAGCCGATGCCACAAGCTGCGCCAACGGGGACGGTGCATTCTCGGAAAACCCTCCTCCCCTGGAGCTTGAGAATCCAGGCGTGCCCATGCCTCCCCCGTGGTACGGCGAGTCTGAGAGGATTGACAGGCGGAGCGGTTGGGGGGTCAAGGTGCGGCGGTGCGAAGGCAGCTCGAAGCTGTGCATGGGGTTCACAGGGAAGCCGTACCCACTGAACGGCCCCTTGGCTCCTCCCTTTGCTCCTGGTACCATCGCCGCAGGAAGCGACATGGCAACATGGTAACCTCCCGCTCCTCCTCCTGCCCCGCCTGCGGCTGCTCCTGAGCCCCCTGGTCCTCCTCCTCCCACCGCTCCTCCGACTGTGATGTGAGCGCCTGAGCTCGCAGACTTGGTGGCGCGGTTGATGCTGCGGCTGCGCCTGCGGCTGTCGGGGTGGTGCGGGCGGGGGATGGCGCCGCTGGCAAAGCGAACAGCCGCACGCGACGGTGCCAGAGAGCTGCCCCCAGAGGCAGTGCGCGCAGCAGCGCCGCTGGTGGTACCTGCAAACGATCCCGGCGTGATGCTTCCAGTGACGCTGTTACCAGCCTCAGAAGTGCCAGAGGGAGTGAAGGCTGGCGAGGAGGCGGAGAGAGGCGAGTTGCTGCCGTACAGAGGAGTAGGCGTGTTTGGGCCTGAGACAGAGAGCGCAGTGTCTGATACTGCAGAGACGGAGGCCGGGGATTTGGGGTTGGAAGAGTCAAAGGCAGTGGAGCCGGAAACAGACTTGCTGGATGGGAAGGACACGCGGATTGGCAGGGGAGGCCCGGCCCGACGCGACCCCCCCAAACTCCCTCCTCCTCCTCCCGCTCCTCCCACACCTCCTCCTGCTGCTGCTGCCGCTCCTCCTGCTGCCGCTCCTGCTGCTGCTCCTGCTGCCGCTGCTGCTGCGGCTGCTGCTGCTGCTGCCCCCTCCTCGTGGTGCAGACATGGGCTTGGAGAGGGGAGAGAAGGCGCTCCAAGGAACGCTTGACGGGGTGAGCGGGGTGAGCGGGAAGGTTGGGGTGTGAGGCTCTGGGATGTCCTCCACTGCAGAGGCAGCAGGGCGTCTGGCGCAGCAGGGGCAGCGGGGTTAGATGCAGCAGCTGAGGCAGGTGCAGCGGGAACAGTTTTAGCAGCATCAGTATCGGCAGCGGCAGCAGCAGCGGCATCAGCCGCAGAAGCAGCAGCAGCAGCAGCAGCAGAAGAAGAAGATGCAGTTGAAATGGTCACGCCTTTCCCAGTTGCTACCTCCACAGACGCGTGAATGCTCCCATCTGCAGGTAAATGCGAGTCACTCGTGACTGTTTCAGCAGCAGCACCAGCAGAGGCAGCGTTATCAGCACCAGCAGCAGAAGCAGCGGCACTTTCACCAGCATCATCATCCGTAGCAGCAGCAGCAGCCACGCCAGCACCAGTGGAAGCAACAGCCGAGGGTGCGGACGCATCAATAGAACCCTCAGGTCCCTGTGCGACAGGCTCCAACCCTTCAACCAGACCAGCTTCAGCAGAGCCATCAGCAGCGGTTACCTCAGCAGCAGCACCACCATCACCAACATCAGCACTATCACCAGTGCCAGCAGCACCCGCGGACGCTTCAGCAGCAATCTCCTCGCCCTCCCCGCAGGTGGGAACAGCAGCGACAATGGCGAAGCGGGGAATGGGCGCCCACGCGTACTCAGGGTCGTCTGCGTCCTCCCTGCTGGCATAGTGCTGCAGGTCCACCAGTAGGTCTACGAGCAACGCCTGCAGCTTCTTCTCATCCACGTGGTAGAGAGTCTCTAGGAGGGAGATCTCCGTGTGCCCCTGCAACCGCCGGTCCACTCCGATCCTGACCATGGGGAGGGGCGGGAGATGACAGGCGAGGAAGGGGAAGGAGGGTGAGGGGGTGGTGGGTGGGTGGAATGTTTAAGGGGGTTATCTTACGCCCCTAAAAGCTCTTCTCATCCACGTGGTACAGCGTCTCTAGGGGCGACAGCTCCGTGTGCCCCTGCAACCGCCGGTCCACTCCGATTCTGGCCATGGGGATGGGTGGGATGTGACAGCCGAACGGGGAGAGAGAAACAAAAGGATGAGAGGATGATGTGGGGAAGGGGGAGAGTGAGAGGGAGAACGTGCGAGGGAGCGTGGATGAGAAATGAGCAGGCTCAATGCAGCATAAATTTGTGCGTTCCTTCTCGACCCCATTTCCCATTCTCTTCTCTCCCCCGTGTCACCCCCGTGGCTCACTTGATGGTGTTTTCAGCCATGGTAGCAAGCCAGTCCAGCACGCCCTCCAGCCGGGCCAGCAGAGCGTCGGTGCCCATCTGCGCCACGTCCTCTGACTGCACCAGCCGCCGCCGCAGCACGTGCACCACCCTCCGCGGCAGCGCGCTGTACAGCGCCTCCCTGTGGTGCTCCACTGACCTCGCCGTCACCTGGGGGGGATTGAAGGAGGGGGGTTGGGGGGGAGGCGATGTGAGGGTGGGGTGGATGGAAAGGCAGCAAAGGTGAGGGGGGAGAGGTTCAGGAGGATTAATGTGCTGCCATGCTGCGCGCTGTACAGCGCCTTGCGGTGATGCTCCACTGACCTGGCCGTCACCTGCGGGGGAGGAGGAGGGGGGCACCAGGGGAGAGGGGGACGAGGGGGGGGGAGCAGGAAAAGAGTGGGGGAAAGAGGCTTGGGAAGTCTGCTGGCACACACACATGCACGCACTCACGCACACACCCGCACTTACACAGGCACAGGCACAGGCACACCCACACAAACCCACTCACAAACACAACCACAAACACCCACCTCCCCACACACAGAGGCCAGTGACGGGTATTCGGGGATCTCGACTTACAATCTTATCGATCATGGTGACGATGTTGGCGTAGTGCAGGTCCATGCCCACCTCGCCCAGCATGCGCTCCGCCCCCGTCTGCACCCTCTCCCTCGCCTCCATGAACGGCGCCGCCACACGCGCTGCCCATGCCATGCAGGGACGGTGTTGCGGGAGACGCAAGGAACAGGATGTGGGAGGGAAGGAAAGCAGGGTTGTGGAAGGGAAGGAAGAGGGGACGGGCGTGTGGAAGGGAAATGGAGCAGCGGTGACAAGTGCATGTCCACAATAAACGGCACGAGTACCCATACACACACATCCATGAATGAATGCCACACCACGACCTCGCGAGACAGTGTTTCGTCAACACACTCTGACCAGCGTTCACCGCATTCCGATTCTGACTGCTGACCGTCGAGTGGAGAGGAGACTGTTTGTGTTTCGGAACTGACCGTGCTTGCCAAAGACAATGTGTATGCGACCATGCAGGAAGATCACTGCATCCCTTAGCTTCACCACCACCTGCCCAGCACAGCACACCCACCCATCAGCGCACACATGGGTGAGGTGAGTGAGGCACAGGCAACGGGACAATCCGAAGTGAGGGGAGAGAAATAGATGGGCAGCGGACAAGGAAGAAGCGAGAGCAGGAGGAACAGGGAAAAGTACTGCGATGTGATGTGATGGGAACGGAATGAGGGAGCGTACAAGGAGAGAAAAAAAAGGGACCTGCACGTTCTCCTGCACCTGCAAGAACCCTCACTCGCACTCCCCCCACTCTTGAAATCAGGCCGCGTCCCACGCCCACCTCACATATCCCGCCTCCTCATCCCCCCCTCGAACCCCCCTATTCCTCCACACCAGCCCTCCCCACCTCGTCCAAGGGCATGGTCCAAATGCTACCCCCCGCTTGTTGTTGACTGCGTCCTTCTTGGCATCGAGCTCCGACCGCATGTGCTCGATCAGGTCTGCAGCAAGGGAGTGGAAGGGAGCACGGGGGCAGAGATGGAAGTGTGGCGGGAAGGAAGGAAGGAAGGAAGGAAGGAAGGAAGGAAGGAAGGAAGGAAGGAAGGAAGGAAGGAAGGAAGGAAGGAAGGAAGGAAGGAAGGAAGGAAGGAAGGAAGGAAGGAAGGAAGGAAGGAAGGAAGGAAGGAAGGAAGGAAGGAAGGAAGGAGGTTTTTTAGTCGAGTCAAGGCGCACGAAATGCATCCTTCTTTGCATCCAGCTCCGACCGCATGTGCTCGACCAGGTCTGCAGGGGGGCACGTGCCAGCGAGGTGGAAGGGAGTGGCGGGACGGAAGGAGTGTTTTGAGCCCAGTCAAAACGCATCTTTGGTCGAGTCGAACGAATTGCGCCCTTCTTCGCTTCCAGCTCTGACTGAGCGCATGTGCTCGATCAGGTCTGCAGGGGGGCACGCCAGAGATGTGGAAGGGAAGGGAATGGCAGGAGGGAAGGAAGCAATGGGGCGCGCCAAAAAGCAGCTCTAGCTCTGACCACACGCATGTGATTGATCGGGTTTGGTTGGGATGGGAGGAGGGGCGGGAGAGGGGAAGCGTGCGCAGGCCAAGAGGCAGGATTGCTGGATGAACCCGAATAGGCGGATGGATAATGTGGGTGAGTGGAAAGTCAGGTGGGAGTTGCGAGAGAGCGAATGAAACAGGCGCGGTGGCCATGAGGCGTCGAATGACTATTTTGCTTTGCAGCATGTCAAGCATCTCAATTGTGTATGTATGTATGTCCCCAGAGCTGATTGTATGTCAAGAGCCAAACACAACTGGAAAGAGGGAGAGAATGAAGGAGGAGCAGAGCAAAGCAGCGCACCTCGGATGATGCTGGGCTTGGATGTGGAGCGCTTCTCGTTGAGGCGCTTCTGCAACGCCTTGTACATGTGCTCTATGCTCGTGATCTCATGGTACAGCTCCTGATCACATGGGCACATGGGCACATGGGCACATGCACACACGCACACCAAACACACTCACACATGCCCACACGCACATGCATTCACCCAAACATGCAACCGCCCACATCCATAGACACACAAACACAACAACACGCGTGAGGTAGTAGGAGCAGCAGCAGCAGCAGTGGCAGCAGTAGGTGAGCAAGAACCTAGCAGCAGGTTGGAGAAGCCTGGGGGGCCAGATACATACAGATGCAAGCGAAGCATGCTGCTCGAGCCATCTGACCACCTCCAGCCCTTCCTCCTGCGACACCACCATCACTGCTCCCTGCCCCCCCTCCTCCACCCCCTCCTTCTTCCCCTCCTCCTTTCCTTCCTCCTTTCCCTCACCAATTCCCTCCTCCGTTTCGTCCTCCTTACCCTCCCCCCTTCCCTCCTTCTGCTGCTCCTCTTGGCGCGCCTTATCCCCCTGTGAAACTCTTTTGCTCTTCTTCACGTGCCATTGCAAGCAGTCGTCATCCCCTTCCGGACCCTGCTGCTGCTGCTGCTGCTGCTGCTGCTTGCAAGGGTGGGGGTTGCAGGCTGGAAGGGGAGGGCGGAGGGAGGAGGCATGGGATGGTGGAGATGGACGGATGGTGGAGGGGGACGGATGGCGGAGGAGGCAACATGAAGCATCGGATTCTTAAATTTTTCTTTTGACGAGTGGGTTCTCAAAAGCGGTAATGAGTGCACGGATTCCTTGGATCTAATTCCGCGTAATTCCCCAGCATACCATGCCGCGCCTCGCCATGCCATACTATGACATGCCATGCCCCACCATGCCCCACCATGCCCCACCATGCCCCACCATGCCCCACCATGCCCCAGCATGCCACGGCAGCGAATGAAACGGCAGCAAAGGGGCACACCTGTTGAAGAGCGCATAGAGGCCGTGCAGGGACGCATCAGGGCACTGCCTTCCGAACCGGGCCACGTCCCGTGCAATCACACGCAGGTCGTTCCTGCACCCATGGTCCATGGAATCGTTGACACGTCGTCAGGACTCTCAGCATGTGATGGTCAGTATGCGATGGTTGGCATGTGATGGGAAAGAAATGGAGTGGGCCAGACATTGAAAGGGGGAGCTAGGGACAACCCACTTCACTGCTATCCATAACCATCTAACCTCCTCCCTCCCGCTCTCCCTCCTTTCCTTCTCTTCCTCCCTCCTCCCTCCATTCCTCACGCCCTCCCTCCCTCCCTCCCGCCATTCCTCCCTCCCTTCCTCCCATCCACTCTCTCTCCCTCCCTCCCTCCCTCCCTCCCTCCCTCCCTCCCTCCCTCCCTCCCTCCCTCCCTCCCTCCCTCCCTCCCTCCCTCCCTCCCTCCCTCCCTCCCTCCCTCCCTCCCTCCCTCCCTCCCTCCCTCCCTCCCTCCCTCCCTCCCTCCCTCCCTCCCTCCCTCCCTCCCTCCCTCCCTCCCTCCCTCCCTCCCTCCCTCCCTCCCTCCCTCCCTCCCTCCCTCCCTCCCTCCCTCCCTCCCTCCCTCCCTCCCTCCCTCCCTCCCTCCCTCCCTCCCTCCCTCCCGCCCCCCGGCCCTCACAGTCGATCCAGGGCAGCGATGCGCCAGGCGGTGTCGGTGTCGGGGGTGACGAGGGCAGCGATGCCGGGCGATGCAATGACGCCGGACGCCAGCTGCGCCATGTGCGTGTCCTGCAGCGAGTGCTGCAGCTGCACCAGCCGCACCATCACGTGCGCCACCTCAAACGACATCACCTCAGTGCTGCCACCCACGCCACGACGGTGGGGGGCGGGAGGGCGGCACGGCGGGGGGAAGGGGGAAAAGGGGGAAGAGGGGAAGCGGAAGGGGAGGGATGTGGGGAGGTGGGGGGCCACTGGTCCACAGCGTGTGTGAATCACCGCGTTTGAGGCGCCACCTCAAACGACATCCCCTCGATGCTGCCAGGGGACGATGGTGGGGTGGGTGGGGGTAAGGGGACGCCGGGGAAGTGGAGGGATGCGGGGAGAGGGGCACCCGTCCATATGTACGAAGAGACTACAACACGAGTTGCACGGACGAGCGAATAGACACACAGAGAAGAGGGTAGGGGGGAAATAAAGCCGACTTTCTGGCGAGATTTTGAGGCAGAATTGGCACGGTTAGGACTCAGAAAGTACATAATTCTCACTGCCGTACTCAGAAAGAGAGAAAGGAAGTAAATGAAACCATGGATAGGGAAGCGCGGTTGAGGCGAGGAAAGGGCGAGGCGAGTGAGTGAGAGAGCACAAGAAGCGTACCGGCCGTTCTGGCGTATGGCTCCCACGCAGGGAATGACCGGCGTCTTGAGCATGCAGTTCAGACTGCATGGGTGAAGGAACACAGGGGGGGAATGGATTGGGGGAGGAAACGAAGAAGAAGGGGCGGGAGGGGAAACGCGAAAGCGACCATGGCAGGGAGAGGGCATTGGGACGCGTAGAGCGGGAAAGAGGTGGTTGGGAGGGGGTGGGGTGGGGAGATAAGTGATGGGGAGCGATGAGTGCATGGGGGCGTGGGGGGGGCCAATGAGATGCGGGAACATGCGCAGTGTCGATGGCGAGAGCGATAATGACACGGGAGTGCTAGGAGGGTGGAAGCATGCAAGTGCTTGTAGTAGGTACCTCTCATCATATGCAGCCTGCTTCGCTTTCTGCACCACACAAGCGAGCAAAAGCAGAAAAGGAGCCATGAGCGGCAGGAGGGGAAGCCACGCGGTAAGTAAGGGAAACGGAGCAGGAAGAGGAGAGGGGGAAGGGGCGGAAATGAAAGAGAAAAGTTGGGGGGAGAAGCGAGGGGAAGAGGAGAGGGATGAAGAGCAGGCGAGTGGATTGGACTACACAGATAAGAGATCATAAAACATGTTCTGAGAGTGGGTAGGTAGGTTAACTGCAGCAGATCAACAGTCACACGCACCAACTCATCGACCACCGACGTACACCCACCACCAGCTTTCCACTTCACGTCTTCCCTCACCCACCCTTTCCCACCCACCCACGCACCTTTTCTCTCGATCGCGCTTCTCTATCCGCTTTACTCCTCCCCTTGGCTTTTTCCCTCTCCTTCTCCTTCTCCTTATCTCTCCCCGAGCCCCCCCCACTCTCCTTGCCTTTCCTTCCGCCCCCCCCGTTCCCGTCCCGCTCATCACTGGCGGAGCGCCCCATGATGCGCATCGCGACTCCGTGCACGTGCTGCCACATATGCGACGCCGCTCCCCCTTCCCGCGCCCCTCCGCCATCACTGCTACTGCTGCGCGCGCTCCCCCCGCCCCCCTTGTCCAGATTGTAGTTCCCTCCACTCGGTCTCCGCTCATGCTCCTGCTGCGTCTGCCCCCCTTCCGCTCCTTTTTTCCCCCTGGCGAAAGCATTTTCCGCCCCTGTCGCGCCACTGTCCTCCGCCGCCCCCTCCCCCTTTCCCCACGGACCGCCTGCCTTTCCGCCATCCTTCCTCGCATTCGCGTTGTCGCTCTCGCCGCTCGGAACGGCGGGGACCGTTGCGTCTAGAGCAACGGTCTTGCCGGATCCCTCGTCAGCGTGATGGTGCTTTCCCGCTCCCTCGCCGTCATTCTGCTGCGATTGCCGATGCTGCTGGTGCGGCGGGTGATTCGCATCGGCTGTTTTCAGCGTCGCAGGGTCGACTCCCTCGTCGCTCGTCGCATGCTTTAGGGACGACGACCCGCATCCCATAATCACGCGTCTGCTGCCGCTCCTCCACCCTCTTCTCTTCCTCCTCTTCCTCTTCTTCCTCTTCCTCCTCTTCCTCCTAAGGGTCTCACTTCTCTTCTCCTCCTCCTCCCTGCCACACTCGTCTCCCTCTATCGCGGTTCCCTTGAAGTAATGCGGTCTGTTGTCTGCAGTACGCGTCACTCACGGTCGTTTAAGCGCGGCATTCCCGTTGTTGCAACATTTTTTCGCGTTTCCCTGACGACCATCAGCCTTCGCCTCCTCTCGCGATTCGCTGATATTCGCTGTTACTCGTTATTATTCGTCGTGATTCGTTGTAACACCATCCCTGGGTCTCAGCGTTCTAAAGCATCAACGCGCCCGGTCATAAGTAATCGCAAGCCGGGAACCAAGCCATTGGGATGGGACGAGCGGTGAGAGGCAGAATAAGAGATGACCCGCGAACATTGTAGACAGAATAAGAGCTAGGATGGAGTCACTTTCATGATTGTGAGGTAGCGGACTTGCCGCGCTTTGGGAAGTATAGTGCCATTCAGGACATTCGACGCTGTCGACAGACCAGCCACTGTCCCTCTTAGCCTCCTAACCACGCCGCTCGAATCGCCTCACTCGTTAATGCTCCTGAACCCTCTGTCTCGTTGCCGGCCTATGCGTAAGAAAATACAAGGGAAACAACAAAGAAAACGCATACCTAATCCATCCAAACCCTCGAGTGACAGGAAAAGTTAGCGCTTGGAAACCGTGCTGAGTCTAACTACTCGTCACTAAAGACGGCGCAGCGAGCGCAAGAGCTCGTTGTCTTGACGAGAGATCGACGCGCTTCGCCACATATATGTTGCTGCTTTATGTGCGACCCTCATTCGTAAGTGGTGGCATTCTGTACGGCGCAGTTGGGTGACTGACTCCCTTGGAGTTGGTTTGGGGGGTGGGGGCTCTGCTGGGATTGGTTGGCTCGACCCCAATCCCTCCCTCCATTTTTTTGCTCACCTGGTGCTGTTGCTCCGCTGCACTGGACTCCGCTTCCCGCGCAACTGCAAATCAACAAAACGGTTCGTGCGGCAAAAGCAAAATACGGGGTGTGAGGGCGCTATTCCTTTGTGGATTTCGAAAGCATGTTTCGTGGCTTCAGGAAGCGAACTAAGCGAAAGGTTTCAATTCACAATGAAATTTACCCACTGGTTACAGCAGAAGTTCTTCAGGATTTGGAACTACACGAAACCGGATCTCAACGCCCCCAACTGTCGAGCACGAGCAATCTGTCAGCTTTCAAGCTTCATCCAATTTCACCCTGGGGGAATGCCTTTCCGGGTGCAGCGCGCATACGACAAATAAGCACGAAAGTCGTTTGACTCGCAATACGGCAAGGCGTGCTCCATTAGAGCAGTACCCCATGTCACACAACCACCAGAGAGCGTGGGTACAGTAAAGAAACCTACCTGACCATTATGGAACCTATATTCCGATTCCTAATATCTCAACTGTTCCTATATCAGCATGTACGTACTTGTAACAAAACAAACCTCATACACCAAGTTTCCCATGTCCTTCATTAGTCATGATTAAACGACCATTGAGAAGTGTTCACGATTTCTTGTTTATTCGTTGCACAAAGTCTTCAACTGGCAGGCAGCTCAAGCTACATAGGCGAAGCATAAAGAACACTAATCGCATGGAACACTAAAGTGCATACCAGAAAATAATCATATTACCATCATTCTGTTCTATGAATGCTTCCCAAGTTGAATCTTCTTGGCCACACGTACTGCACCATGTAGCATCCCATCCACAATACCAGCAACCTAAATGCACAAGGGGTGTACAAAAAAGAGGTGATGGAAAGTGGATGTGCTGGGTTGGGAGACAGCAATGCAATTACCACTTCTATGCAGAAATTTTAGCCTGCATGACGGATTCAGATAAATTGACGAACTACCGATCACACCCTTTGGTCACATGCAAGTGTAAACACCATGCACCCTGACGCGTACACAGCATAAGTGGCCGTGCATGTGTACGTGTTCGTGTGAATACGCATCCGTGCATTGTGTGCAGTGCACACATGATGTACACACCCCCACATTAGTACAAGGACAGTTGGAAAAAGAACGGGGGAAGGTGTGTTGTAGTGCAAAAACAAACAAACAAACAAACTGACCGTGAAGACTCCTCCAATAATGGCGCAAAGATTGGTGAGGAAGGCAGCAAGGGAAGGTCTGGTCTCAGTGAGAACCACCTGGGGAGCAAGATTTCACAAAGGAGGCACACAAGAGGGTGCGATTGCACCTAACAGCATCACGCACAGTGGCTCACTCTCATACATGAAACAGCTCAATGCTATTGAGGCATCTAAAAGAGTGATTGAAGCTCACATGATAAGCCGTAAATATCAAATTTCAATGGTTATGATGCATGAGGAGCACAAGTCAAGTGCACCAATATGCAGGGTTTGAAAGCAAATGCTTGCACGCATGCAAGTCCTGATCGGTGCACGCATACACACGCCGCACAAGCAAACATGCGCATGCGTCTGTGCATGAGTGCTTGCGTGTGTGCATGCACAAGAGCAGAAACTCCTCCATCTCCTTACACCCACGTTCCCCCTCCCCTCCCCACCCGCATCCGTCCTCCTTCCCCCTTCCCCCCCCTTCACACACACACACACCTGCATGGGCGAGAGCAGGTAGTGGAAGCGAGCAGCAGGCAGGTCATCTGGGCGTTCGAGTGTGTGGCTGTGCACGGTGAAGTCAAAGGCATGCAGCGTGTGCTTGCTCCACTCGCGCCTCGTGCTGCTCGTGCTGGATGGCAGCGTTGCCGACGCCAGGAACGACGGCCACCGCACCTCGGTCAGCACCAGCTGCAGAAAGTGCTCGTGCTGATGGGGGCGGAGAGGGGGGAAGATGGAGGGGAGGGGCATGCGGGCACGGGTGCAAGAGGACGGAGGGCTGATGGTCACTAAGATGTGAGGAGAAGGAGGGGTTGTTGAGACGGGCGTCATTGAGGAGTGGAGGGTGGGGGGAGGTGGGAGGTTAAGGAATTCTGAAAGCTGAGGAGCAGGAACACAAGGAACACGAGGGAAGGCGGCAGAGATAGAGGCAGGCAGGAAGGTTAGAATGGATAAGAAGGGGTTTCAGAGGGGTGACTGACGGTGACTCGCTCGTGCTGCGAGGTGAAGGAGCGGTTGTCGAGGCGGCCGTTGGTGAGGTGCAGCATGGGCAGAAGGCGCTCCAGGTGGTGGCGCTTGCGCTCTGACAGCTGGCGCCCGAACGACAGGTGGTGCACCACGTGCGACAGGTTCATGGCTGCTGCGTCAAAGGAGTGCGATGGGGAATTCGCGTGCACCATCAGATTGCCTGGCACCTGGTGGGTGTAAAGGTGTGCATGTGTGTGGGGGAAGATAAGGAGGGAAGTCTAGTTTTGAGGCCCCTCAAAACTACGCGTGCACCATCAGGTTGCCTGGCACCTGGTGGGTGTTGAAGTGTGTATGGGTGTGTGGGAGGGGAGGAGGGAGGGGGGGTTGGGGGGAGAGATGGTGATATGCGTGTGTGTGCGTGTGCGTGTGCGTGTGTGTATGTGCGCGTGTGTGCGCGCGTGTGTGTTCGTGTGTGAGCGTGCGTGTGTGCTCGCATGTGCGTGTGGCGCATGCAATGCAGGAACAATGGCATGACAACGAGCCCGAGCCGGAAACATTTAGTAAGGAACGGATATATATGCGAGCGCGACAAGCATCCACAGAAACATGAAGATAAGAGTCAGAGGGTGATGATACTCTATGATTCGATCCAGTCATATCAAAGCAAGATAAGCGTTAAAACCCTCACCTTCTTGACGAGCACAAAGCCTTCTATCTGACAGCCGGCAGCCTGAGGAGCACGGCGGCGGTTCGGATCAGATGCTTCAGCTGCAGGATTGCCACCTGGTAGTGCCGCCCCTCCTCCTGCTGCTGCCGCTGCCGCTGCCGCTGCTGCTGCCGCGTGCTTGTGCGGCCGCAACTAGGGATTCGGAGAACTGACGAAGGGGGGTTGACCGGGAGGCAAGAGGGGATGAAGACTTAGGGAGGAGGGGATTTGATGGGAAGGGAGATGATGGCGATGATGGGGATGGAAGGGATGAGAGGGAGGGTGGAAGGGGGGATGGCGGAATGGGAGGAAAGAGGGGGTTGGGGGATGGAGGATATTAGAGAACGAATGCAGAGGCTGTACATTGCATGACTGGCTGTATGTGAATGTGTGGGATGAGTGTGGGGTTGGGCTGAGTGTGGCCTGAGTGTGGGCTACCAGTAACTCACGGCAATGAGGGAGAGTGTGTCGCGTTCACCATAGTACGACTCATGCTCATGCTGTCCGTGCTCCCTCCTGCACCATGCCATACCATGCCATGCATGCGACAACACAAAGCAGCCCAACAAAAGCGACATATTACGGGGCCGGATGCATCAAAAAAAGTTTGACCTTTCTCAGTAACGTAAAATACATCCCATCCCCATCCCATTCCATCCGAACCCATGGCATCGTTTCCCATCAACGCATGTTATTCCATGCCATACTATGCTATAGATAGCAACCCCATGCCATGCGATGCACTGACATGTTGTTCCCCCCTGCCATACATGCCATGTATGTGTCACATGATTGGATTGCCATGACTCACATGATCGAGTCGTCCCCTTGGCGAAAGACTCGGATGGAAGGGTATCCCTGCACATGATGGCTGCATGGATGGATGGGTGGGTGGGTGGGTGGGTGGTGGGATGGATGGATGGATGGATGGATGGATGGATGGATGGATGGATGGATGGATGGATGGATGGATGGATGGATGGATGGATGGATGGATGGATGGATGGATGGATGGATGGATGGATGGATGGATGGATGGATGGATGGATGGATGGATGGATGGATGGATGGATGGATGGATGGATGGATGGATGGATGGATGGATGGATGGATGGATGGATGGATGGATGGATGAAGTATGAATGGAAAGACGGGTCAATCCGGACAAAATGCAGGAAGCTTCAGCTGGTACAGAATACGCAAACCATGCAGGGAAAATATCGCTGTGCTCTAACATGGCATCCCATGCCAGAAACACAGTCACAAACACATGACATGCCTGTGGATATACATTTACAGTCCTGGCTTGTGAGTCGTTTCACATGTCACACTCACACCGCTCAGCCAGCCAGGCAGGCAGGCAGCGGCCCACCTGAAGCAGAGGTTGGAGTCGAGAGTGCAGTCCACCTTGGCCAGGCGAATACGCCCATCGTGATCCGGGTGATACCTGGTGGGCGTGGGGGGAGGGGAAGGGGGAGAGGGGGGGTGTTGAAAGGGCGAGGGGGGTGCAAGGGAAGCAGCGAAGGTGTAGGGAATATGAGGAGCGGGGTGGATGGGGAGGGGCGGAAAAGGGTTAGGAATGGCGAGGAGAGTGGATGGGGCATGTGGCGTGGGAATGAGAAGGAATGGGGGAGACGGTGTGCGAGAGAGAAAGATAGAGACAGGAGGTGTGCAGGGTAGAGGCAGGAGGAGTAAGGACAGCGTGCGATTTACTTTTGGCTCATGACTGTTGCTGCTTGTTCCCATGCTGGCTCCTGCCATGGGCCAAGGCAGGCAGAGGGCACAAGGCAGAGACGGCATGACAGGTACCAGTAAGTAATGGCTTCAGGCGATGCAGTATCACAAAAAGTGGGCCGTGTGTTACGGCGTTCACTGCAGGGGTGGTGGTGGACGAGTGCGTAGGTGGGTGCGCGGGTGGGCGGGTGGACGAGTGAGTGGGTGGGTGCGTGGGTGGGTGGGTGGGTGGGTGGGTGGGTGGGTGGGTGTGTACCAGCAGTTGGCACCAGTGGCACCATGGGGCAAAGAAATTCACAATGAGGATGCCGTACCTGCCATGGCACAAAAGAGGGAGACAGAGAGAGGACGGTAAACAGTCAGTTGTTAGTGAGCAGTACAGAGGAGCACATGGGATGGGATGGGAGGAAGTGCAGCAGTGCAGCAAGTGCATTGATCACAACGGTGCCATCACGCTGGTGGTGGTGACTCGATGAGAAAAGCGACGCAAGGCGACAACAAGCAAACCGAGCAGCAAAGCAAAGCAACGCGGAGCCAAGGCAAGGGCAGAGAGCACTGCACAGAGCAGCAAATCAGGGCTGGAGCCAGGCAAGCCAGGAGAGGAGGCACGCACTGTCTGGTGGCAGGCTCAAACGTCCTTGAATCGAGCACGAGCGAGCCCACATACTGCTTCTCGCCCGCCTGCCCGCCACTGGCCATGCCCTCCTCTGCCAGCTGCCTCTGCGCCTCCTCCTCCTCGCCGCCCTCATTGCCCCCGCGCATCAGCTTCGGTATCGGGTCCGGGTGGTGCTGCGGGCCCACGATGCGTAGGGACGAGTCGATGGGGTGCTTGCGCAGAGTGCGGGAAAGGTTGTACCGTGCCTGGGGGCGGAGGGGAGGCCGGTGGGGGATGGAGGGCGGGCGGGGATGGGGGAGAACGGGGGGTGGGTGGGGCTGGTGGTATGCAGTCAAAGCGTGCAGACTAAGGGACAAGAGAGGGATGAGGGTGGATGGAAGCGTGATTAGGTGTGTATGTGAGCTGCTACAATCAACGATCCACTCAACCTGTGAGTTCCCTGTGAACTACATGGTAGGAGGCTTTTTTACATGTGTGGTAGTTACGGTTCTGGCTACGTTGAGAGGAGTACGCAACGGTTCGCTGCGTACTCTTTGCAACCGCGAGTGGGATACGTGTCAGTGCTCCCCAGTGCGCTGTTTGGCAAGCAAGACGCAGCAGCAGTTGAGATAAGAGCATACCGTGCCAATCACGTCTGTGATGTCGACTGATGCAAACTCGCAGGAGAGCGCTGGGAAGCTGCAGACAGTCGAGCACAGGCAGCGAGAAGGGAGGAACAGCGAGATGAAAGGAGAATTACGTTCGCCTGGGTGTTTGCTTGTGAGTAAGGAAGGGCAGTGGAAGAGCAGGAAAGATATCAGTGCGATGGTGCTAAATAGGCTGCACATATTTTTTCACGACACTGGATGCGCAGAAATCCTTGATTGCTGTTTGTTCTATGTCGCAGAAGCAGGACCAGACGAGACCCTACGCTTCAACTGAAACTGCAAGACGAGCTACTTTAGGGCAGCTCAAGGTCGTCAAATGCAATGCAAAGAGACGACCTCTGAGGGTTGCTAGCCTAAAAAAAGCAGAGGCTGGATGGGGTGGGATGGGGTGGGGTGGGGTGAGGTGGGGTGGGGAGTGGTGGAGTGGGGAGGGGTGGGGTGGGGAGGGGTGGGGTGGGGGGGGGTGGGGTGGGGAGGGGTGGGTAGGGGAGGGGTGGGGTGGGGAGGGGTTGCTTGCCTGAAGTTGAAGTTGATGCGCAGCAGGTCGATGTTGGGGCTCTGGTCCACGATGACCGTGGTGCTCGTTGTCACCGTTAGGAACGCCCTCAGCTCCTGATGCCACCCAGGAGGGGGGAGGGAGGGGAGGAGGGGGAGGGGACATGCATGCAAGTCACCACGCGCACGAAGAGCGAGGGAGACATGATGAGGGAGGCTCAAGGGAGGGAGGACAATGACAGAGGCGAGGAAGGAGCGGGGGGAGAGGGGAGGGGAGGAATTTGGGGATGTAAAGGACTGGGGGAGAAGAAGGTTGGATTGGCGAGGAGGGAGGAGGGAGGGAGACACTCATTGGCATGAAGGCGAATGCGGATTTCAGAGGCGAATGCTGGGCCTCAGATTAGGGTTGGGGGGGTATGAACCAAAGCCAGGGCCATGGAGGAAAGGTTACGAGAGCGGATAGAGAGAAAGAATGAAAGAGAAAAGCGCACGGCACGCGGGGGAGAATGGAAGGGAGCTCGAAGAGTGAGTAGCGGATGAGATGGGCATGGGGAGGGTGGGTGGGTGGGTGGGTGGGTGGGTGGGTGGGTGGGTGGGTGGTTTACGAGCCAGACGAGCACGATTATCCATGAGGCCTTTTGAGGCCACCCAGAGGAGAGTTTTCAGAGTGGGGAGCGGTTGAGAAAGGAGAGGGGAGGGTGCATTACGAGCCAGACGAGCACGATTATCCATGTGGCCGCCACCAGTGATAGGGTAGCCCCGGATAGCGATGCCTCTGTCAGGTCGCGAGGTATTCGCCTGCCAGTCCGGGAAAGGATCGGATGAGGGATCAGGACGGTGGTGACTCGAGATAACGCAATGGGCGGTGGAGACAGGAAGAATGAAGGCTTGAAATTAGGGTTTCAGGAGGTGGAAAATGTGGAAGTAGATGTGAATTCGTGGACAATGGCGGAGTTATGGGGGTCAATGTACGAAACAAAGTGTATTACGGTTAAGCTGGGCAACAGCAAGGAATACGGTAGGCATGGTCAGATTCTGCTTGGGTTTTACGGAGTGGACGACTGACGATTGAAACCCACCGATAGAAATCGACGGCCTTTATTTTCGCAAAGATCGACATTGCTAATCAATCACAGCCACGGGGCATACACCAGCCTTCTTGTCTTCTACACACTGGCGGATTGCGAAACCTGACGAAATACCTCGTCTGTAGCTCAAGACCAGAGCCAGGCCTGGCAAGCAGCACCAAGGCAAGGGATGAGCAAAGCCAAAAGTTGGTCAGGATTTTCGGATGTGTTCGTTGTTCAGGAGGGGTTGCTGGAGGCGAGGAGTCGGCACTTTCAACAACGGTGCCGAGGAGTTTAGCGTGGTAAACTTCAACAGTGATAGCTCTCACAACAGAGAAAATCCTTTCTACCACTAGAAAATTCACATGGGGTATATCAATACTACCGTCATGCCCGTGGCCTAGGAAGGATTATTTTTTTCAGTTAAAATCTATAAAAAATGATTTCATGACTACTTAGCTGGTTCCATGCCCTATTTTCTATGCATATATTAGTCGTGATATTGTACCCGTATTAAGCAGGTAGGTGCTTAGACTGTCTGCATGTGTTCCTCTATTCACAACCGCGCCATCCTTGTAGGAGGTACAGAAGTTGCACCAAATTTTCCGCGCCAAGAGCGCAAGCCCCAAACGGATCAGTTTCGAAGCCGTACCTCGCAAAACTTTTCGCCAACGGAATGGTCGACACCCTCGCATCCACGAATCTCGCTCACGGGATTGCTTTCGCCTGCTGCTCTCTTCCTGTCGGCTTGGCAACTCAGAGGAACAGAGGCTGGAGAACGCGCTCCGAACCGCGCCGCATTTGAAGGCAAAAATCAGATTGGGGTGCCATCGGAGCCTGGTGGGCGTCAAGAAACAATGGGCTGTTCTGCTTGGTGATTGGCGTTTTGACACCCTGCAACATCTCACCGAGCCATCCATTTCCCACGCAGCCTCGTCAAACTTGCTCTCAACCAAACCAGCAGTGCCTTCAAGTTGATCTTCGCTTTCCTCTGGCCGTGCGTCCTTCAAGCTACTAGCAAGGATTATGTAGTGCTGTTCCCTTCAAATTCGTATCGTAAAGCGAGCCAACTTTTCCACTTGGTGCTATTACGACATCTCATATCGACGCAACGCAGCCATTCTAGATTTCTCCGCCATGCGGACGTCGCATGGCGACTCATCCGCGTCGACCGCGGCCCGCACGTTCGACCCGACCGAGTATGCTCTCCGTCGAAGAGAGCAGATCGAACGCGCGCGGGAGCTACGAGCGGCGCGGTCCACCATGATGGGTACCGGCGTGTCGCGAATGAACTCAGGTCCCACGCTCACCCGCTCCCTCTCCTCCGATAACGTCGCCGGTTCGTTCGCGCAGCACGCCTCTCGCTCGTACACCGACTCTCGTCGCAACTCTCTGGGGTTATCCTCCTCGACCTCGGGGCCTCTCGCGGCTCGCAGGGTTAGTGGTGCCACTACCCATGGAGGCACAGTTCCTCGTACCGTAAGCAGTTCATCCACCGTTTCGAGCGTAACTCGTTCGCTTGACACGTCGGCAGTGTGTCGTCCCAGCAGCTCCACCCTTCGCAGTGGACATCCCTCCACTACCGTTCCGGCAGCCAGCAGCCGCAGCTCGGCGGCCTCCGCCGGCAGGTCTGACGGCCGGCAAGGAAGCGGGCGGCAGCAGAAGCAGCGGCGGCCGAACGAGCGGCAGCGGCCGGTGGAAATCCGGCAGACGTTGAAACTCGACGACGAGGCGTTGTTTTCGGAGGAGGAGCTTGCAGCGTTTCGCTGCGCTGGTATGGCCGCCGAGTCGGAAGCCGCCATTGGCGTGCAGCTGCCGGAGGAATCCGCGATAGGGAGTATCGCGATAGCGGCTGAAGTGGCGCCGCCAGTTGTGATTGAGATTGTCGACCATGAGACGGGGGTCGTCAAGACGCCGCCAAGGGACACGAGAAAGAAGCGAATCGTGACGGGGGAAGAGACCAAGGCGGAAATGCCACAACGGGACGATAAGTTAGAGAAGGATCGGGAGCAGAATTTCGAAGAAGAATGCAAGGGACAGCAGCAGCATCAGGAAGGAAATTCACACAAAGATGAGCCCCTGCTGCGGACAGCACAGGCAGCAGCCGCTGTGCCTGTGCGCGGATCCAGAGTCCACGACGAGCGGAAAGCCACAGAAGATTCGGTTGCGCGGAAGCTGAATGCAGCGGGTGGCGGTGGTCACGCGGCAGGCGCAGCGCAGCACGGGTTGGAGCCGGGGGCGGCAGCACAGGCAACTCCCCCGCAGTCGGCGGAGAAGAAGGGCGGCCGGCTCCTGCGCACGCTGAGCGCATCCGTGAGCATGCTGAAGCGCGCCTTCATGGGGAGCGCTTCTTTCTCCGCCACTTCCCCCTCCGCTTCCGCTTTCTCTCCCTCCCCCGCAGCCGCCGCCAAAGCCGCTGCTGCCAATGCTTTGGCAGGCCACGCGAAACGCGAAGCGGCGAGTCGCGCGTCTGCCTGGACGAGCGGTAAGCCGTCCGCGCTGGCCGCAACCCATGGTACCAACGGCTCTAGTTCGAGTAGCGTCGCTAGCGGCGCGAGCGGCACGACTGGCACTAGCGGCACTAGCCGCACCGAAGGCACCAGTTGGACTAGCGGAACTAACGGCACTAGCGGCACTTCTGGGTCTGCCACAGGCGGCGGTGCTACGAGCGCGAGTGGAGTCCCCAACCTCGTCACCCCCACCAGAACACTCCACCCCATCAACACGCCCTCCGCTTTCAACCCCGCGCCTTCCCCGTTAGCCGCCGACATCTCGCCGCGCGCATTGTTCCACTCGACCGCTGCGACTGCTGCTACCGGTTTCTCCGCTGTGGTTTCCGCAAGTCGCGCACCGCTCAGTGCCTCCACCGCTCCATCCACTCCGCAGTATGGGCTTCCCCGTACGGCGCAAGGCTCCACTTCCGCCACCGCCTCCCCTCACTCCGGGGCCTTTGTCCCCGTGCCGTGGGACACGTTCGGCTCTTCCTCCGTTCCCGCCAGCCCCGCCGCGAGTGAGGGCGCAGGCGGAGGGGTCCAGTCTCGGCGGAAGCGGTGGGCAAGCATCGGGGGAGGGCAAGAAAGGGGGAGTTTCTTGGTGCTTGGCGGAATGAGCGCGGACAGAGTGGGCGGAACAAGCAGGGGGGAAGCTGGGGAAGGCGCAGAGGATGGATTTACCCGGTACGGCATGAAAAAGCAAGAGCTCGATTCCGCCACTTCCAGCCGCATGGGCTACACATCAGACGGTACAGAGGACTCGCGCCGTAAATCCGACCGTCAGGGACGCGCCACGTGGTCTGCCACACCAGGAGACGCGACACCGATGCAGATCAGGCAGATGATGAACGCGCAGGAGCGCAAGGCGAGGACCAACGGCGTGGGAAAGAGTACGAGCAAGGGCAAGGGGCGGTCTGATCGGACTGTGCATCCCGAACTCTCCCAGGCTACCCCAGCGTCCCCTTCCGCCCCTCCGCCTGTGAACCACTCCGGGGGGCGGAGGCAGGGGTCAGCGCGCGTGGTGGGGAGGGGAGCGGCCGCCGCAGCAGCGGCAGCTGCTGGGGTGGGGAGGTCCCCGGGGAAAGGCGGAAAGGGGAGCGGGGAGGATGTGGCGGATGACGTGGCAGCGGCGGTGCGCGCCTGGGCTCGGGAGCGCAGGGGGGGCGTGTTAGTGTCCGGGCATGGGGGTGAAGACGTGCCGAGGCAGGAGAAGATGGTGGGGGTGGAGCGGTGGCTGCAGCAGAGGCTGATGGATGGGTACTCGGGCAGTGAGGGCATCAAGAGCAGTGCATGGGAGCTCCGATCCGGAAGTGCTGATGAAGGTACGGAGAGCAGCGACGCTGATGCTGCCGCCGCAGGGGCTGGGGAAGGCAAGAAGGGAACAGGCGCAAGGAAGGAGCCTGGGGAAGGGAGAGCACGGTGGGAAGTGACGGAAGGGGCGGTGCACGAGGGTGACAGCGAGAAGAAGGTGAGGAGGGAGGCGGTTGGCGGAGAGGACAGTGGCAACGCGAAAAAGAAAGTGAGCACAGGCAGCGGCCGAGTGAAGAAGAAGATAAGTGCGGGTGCGAGTGCAGGGGAGGAGGAGGCGGCTGGTGGGGAAACGGTGAAGGGGAAGAAGAGTAACGGTGGTAGTGGGGTGAAGGACAGCGGCGATGCTTATGAGCACAGTGACAAGGAGAATGGTGTGAAAAAGGTGAAGAGCAAGGGGGTGGGGAACGGGAAAGGCAAGCAGAAAGGCCAGGGTGCGCAGGGAGTGGGTAAGGCAAGTGGTGATGAGGCAGGGAGTGAAGATGGGGCTGGTGGGGTTGGTGCTGCAATGAGCGAGCGGGTGGGGGGCGATGCTAATGGTAAAGCAATTGAGAAGCGGAAGAAGAAGGTGGTTAAGAAGGCTAGTGACAGTGTTGGTGACGATGCTAGAGATGGTGGGGAAGTGAAGCGGGGAGTGAAGAATGGGGCGACGATGAAGAAAGGGAAAAAGGCACCTCCGGGCTCAAAGAAGAGTGATGGCAGCGGAGACAAGGGAGATGTGAGTGATGGAGAGGGCGTAGGTGGTGTGAAGGTGAAGAAAGTTGGCAAGAAGAAGAGACCAGTTAGCAGTGATAGAATTTTGGCAGATCAGGGCTTGCTGCAACCTAACCCCGACCGTGCAGTGTCTGAGGAAAAGGTTGCACACGGTTCAAGCTTGGAATTGGCAATTCAAGGTAAATAGCATCGTAGCAAGTGGTAATTCCTGTTCTTATCTTTCATGTGCCTTATTACAACCATTGATATGCATTTCTCTTTGTGTTTGCAGGGATGTATTAAGTTAGTTAGATTATGATGTTTTTTAACCGACTGAATCATAGAGTGACGACAGTGAACCATTTCCTGTAATAGGTATGACATGAGACATTTCGTTGTTAGTGACAGGTATGACTCTCTGCGCTCTGTAGTATAACCTGTTATCTCAAAACAATTTGTTTTTTTCTAGGGTGAATATTTGTAGAACTAAGATTCAGAATTATCAAACCCTTCCTAATGTACACGATTGCTTCTCACGTGCCGTGTTCGAAAAAACGGAGGCCATCGTACCGCAGGTTTGCTGGAACAGATGCGAAAAGGAACCTTCGCGCATACTGCACACGGCGTTCGCCTGACATTTTGGCGATCAGCAGGTCTCTTCCCAGGCCCTCGGCAACGCTGTGTGAACGTTTTCTGTTGAACGCATCTGGGAAACTCGCCGATCTTGTCGTTACATTCGAGTCTGGACGAAACCGCTGGTCAACATTTTCTCCCCTCACTTTCCCTCCAGACAGACACAGGAGTCTCGTTTGCCCCTCTGTTTCGCAGTCCCTCCCCCCCTGCCCCTCCATTCGGGCGCTGTAGATTCTTTTCGCAAATACCTAACGAAACGAGCGACGTCCAGGTTTCACCAACCGAACAGCAGCAGCGCCGCACAGGCGACCCACCTTTCGCCCTCCGCTCCTCCTCTTTCAACAAAACCTTCTGCAAGAATCACCATTGCGAAAGCATTTGCTCTCCTCTTCCCACAACTTCCACCCACAGTTCAAACCCCAGTGAAGCTATCACGCTCACGTGCTCGCATCTCCCCAGAAACAGTAGCCTCGACTTAGCCATGGCCCGTCTAGCTTCGCTCCTCGCAATCCTCCTTGTCGCGCTGCCCCTGGCCTTCGCGGCCGAGCGTCTCCCTCCCGGCCAGTATCCCTGCCCAACATTCGAGGCCATCAGCACATGTCCCGACGCCGCCACTGCTCCGGATCTCGCGGAGCATCCCTCCGTGCAGTTCGGGCAGATCATCGAGACGAACCTTCGCGGTGACCTCACCCGTACTGCTGGCTACGCCGGCATGACTCCCAAGGACTGCTGCGAGAAGGTTGACGGAACTGGCTTCTGGACATGGTCCGCTGACTCTAGCGACCAGGAATACGGTACGTTTTTTCCAGTTTTGCAAAAAGTATTTAATTTCTCACTCATTCCGCCTTGGTATTTTGCCCCCCTCTCCTTGTCCCCCTCACCTTCCTTCCCTGTTAGCTGACCCTGATTCATAAACATTGTTTTGTACCAATGCCTGCCGCGCCGGTTCCGCAGGTTGGTGCGACATCTGGCAGAGCAATGCCTGCGTCAGGGGAGGGAGCGAGCAAGGAAAGGTTTTCGACTCTAACCCTGCCTTCGCCTACACCTTCCTCAAGGTCCAAGCATAGCTTAGTGCACTCAATCTTTACGTAGTTTCTCGAGATTGGTTCACCTTGTGATATGATGTACACTATACAAATCACGACAGACTCTATCACGGCTTTCTGAAGCTAGTTGCTGGCAAAGGTGCCTGCATGCTCTTGTGTACATTTTTATTTCATGACAGCAATAAAGAAGCGGCCACTAAGGAAAATCCAAAATGGCAGTGGAGTGCAGGCCTTGTCCAGAACTACCTACCTTCTTACTGATCCAGCCCTTGCCCAATGGTATGCGTGGGCATGTTGTTCAGATGTACAATACATCTATCAGATTCTTGTCGCTGAGGAGAATCTTAGAGCAGACTGTTTTTGCCACCAGATTATGGAAACCTGGCAGCGTGCCTGCTTGGTAAGCTGCTTGACTAGTTGGCTGGTTGGCTGGGTTTGGGGATGGCTGCTAGGTTTTAATTTGAGTCTGCAGATGTAGGTGCCGTGACTGCAGATAGCTGGGTAACATCTTACTGTACCTGATAGCATGACTGTCGTGCCTGCTGATACAGGTCTTGTCACAGCGGCAGCATCGTAGAGTGTTTGTTACCTGCTCTTACTCTGGGCACACCACTGTGCCGCAAATCTTGTGTAAGGCTGGACGGTTTCTGCCCTCTGTCAGTTGCTGCCATGGTGCAGAAGTCACCCCTTGTTCTGTCTCCTCACCAGCTGTCACGGATGCATAGATGCAGCGTGCATGTGTCCCTACCACTGTCACTTTGTGAGGATTTTTTTGTCTCCTCACCACCCTCTGCTGCTCTTACCTCTCAGTGTGCGCTTTCCTCTCATGCCAGCTGCGTCTCACTCTCACTCAGGGCCATGTACAAGGGCTTGGCCTGTAGAAGCCGAGTCCTCTTCATGCCACCGCACGGCATACCATCAGGCAAGGCATGATGCCATGCACAGCACCCACAGGAGGACTCTCTGTCCTGCTTGAGTGTTTGTGCTCAGGTGCCTTTCAGCCGGCCTGCTCACCCCGTCCCATCTCACCACAGCACAGCTCAACGCCTAACAACAGCGCACCTAAGAAAAGCTAAGCATATCTACGCAAAAATAACTTCAAAGCTAAGCACGGCTAAGGACCGCAGCTGCCCATCTTGTGCTGTTGGTTGTTCATCACATGCCGCGCGGCATCCCACGTGTCCTGCCTCGCCTGTACGTCATCGCGGCAGAGCCACTTATGCACTGCCAGCGAGATAGCAACCGAACATGAAAATAAAGGGAGGAAAGAACAAAGACAGCCAGAGACAGGAATGGGCTGTGGAGAGGTGCAAAAAGCAACGGCACCATATTCAAGGAGAAGGGACACAGAAGGAGGGGAGGACGAGCAATATAAGGAGAAGGACGAAGGGACACGAGCAATCCTTCAAAGCCTAGAAAACAACATACGGATCATTAAATAACCAACACTCAGAAGGAACGAGTACCCATGAGAGTAAGATGACCTCACCCCTCCAGTGCTGCAACCTCTGCAGCTACAACAGAAGCAGGAAGTTGGTGAAAAGAGCAGCAGTATACTGCTTGATCTGATTCACTCACCACTTGCTGTGTGCTTGCTTGCCATGATCTTACCGTTGCTGCAGCCACTGGTGATCCCTGAGTCACGCCAGCCAGTGCCCCCTTGAGAGCTGGAGAGAGGAGGAGAAGCATGGCAAGGAGGAGGACAAGAGCCGTGAGCAAGGAGAGGAGAAGCAAGTGTGCGAGAGGGTGAGAATGTGAAAGGGCGCCGACAGGACTGAAGAGATGGCGGTGGAAGCTGGTAAAGGGACCTAGCAAAAACGCAACTGATGGTGCATTCGCCCTGCTGCTGCATCTTGTCTCTCGCTTACCTGTGTTGGACAAAAGCAGAGCTTGTTCTTCCAGGCGATGAGCAGGCAGCCTTCCAAAGAGCAATCTGCCACACACTCAAGAGCTTGCAGGCGGACAGACACACCCACACTCACAAGGAAGACCCGTCCGTTCCCCCTCCACTCCATGCCATTCCCCTCCGCCTCGCAGGTCGTGAGGCACACACACGCACATGCATGGGGAGAGAGACAGCCACAGTGCAGTGGTGCAGCAAGGGAGGGTTAGAAGAAGCAGCAGCAGGAGGCGAGTGGTGGAGGCAAGGGCGACAGACACGACTGTTGCCTCTGCGCGGCGACGCCCTACGACTCACATCGCTGCCCCCCCCGAAGCACCCCCTGGCACGTACCACCTCCGTCCGCCACTGTGCCGCTGCTGCGCCTCGCTTTTACTTGGGCCCATCCCACCCCACCCCACGCAGCGACGTGCTCCCGGTTGATGGGTTGGTGGTGCTGCTGCCGTTGCTGTGGTGGCGAGCAGCAGCGCGTGGCTGCAGAGAAGAGAAGAGCACAGGCGAGGAGGGGGTTGGGAGCTGACAAGAGAGGCATCAACACATGGCAGCACAGCTGCAAAGACTCAAGGGCACCGCGGAAAATGGTGGGCAAGACAGAACGGTACAAGGGAAGCAGGAGGATGGTAAACAGAGAAGCGGCATACTGCTTGATCTGATTCACTCAAGGGCTCCGCGGAGAATGGTAGGCAAGGAGCAGGAGAACAGAAAGCAGGAACACAATGAAAAGTGAAGTGTAAACTGCTTGACCTGATCCACTCACAACTTGTTGTGTGCTCGCCTCGCCATGACGCTGCAGACGCTGCGGCCACTGGTGATCCCTGAGTTGCTGCAACCATTTCCCCTTTTGAGTGCTGGAGGTGAGGGGAGAAGGGATGGCCAGGAAGAGGAAGAGAGGCGTGAGGATGTGAACGAGCAGATGCTAGCTGGAGAAGGGACGAGGACAAAAAGCAACGCACGGTACATTCGCCCTGCTGCTGCATCTTCACTCCAAGTTACCTTTTGCCTTGGAAGAAATAGAGCTCTGTTGTTCCCACCGAAGGGCAGGCAGGTTCACAAAGAGCAATCCGCCACACTCCAGAGCTTGAAGGCTGAAACGAACACTCACAGGCATGCACACACGCACACGCACATGCACACATGCACGCCCCCACCCCCGTTCCGGCCTTCCCCCTTCCCCCCACACGCACATGCACAGTCCCCGTCCACTCGCTGGCATTCCTGTGCGTCTCGCAGGGCGTGAGGCACACCCACGCATGGGGGGAGAGAGACAGCCACACAGACACGGCACAACAAGGGAGGGTCAGAAGCAGCAGGAGGCGAGTGGCGGAGGCAAGGGCAACAGACACGACTGTTGCCTCTGCGCGGCGACGCCCTACGACTCACTTCACGGCCCCCCTGCAAGCACCCCCTGGCACGTACCATGCTCCCTTCGCCGCTCTCCCACTCCTGCGCCACGGCCTCACTTGAGGCGTGGTGCTCCAGGCGTGGTGCTCCTGGTGTATTGGTTGGTGTGATGGGATCGCTACTCCTTGCGTGCTGGCCTGCCCATCATCCTGGCCAGGGAGGGAGGAGCGAGACCAAGAGATCATGATACTTGCATACAGTAACACGATAGGAGTGGAGAGGTTTGGG